CTCGGGGAGGTTGTCAATCAAAATGAACTGGACGGGTCAAAGTTGATTTCGCTATCAGCCCGTTGCTCCGATTTTGCCACGAATCTACGTGGCGTCTTCTGCAGCTTTCCACCCCAGAAGAAGGCTCTCTTCTCAAGGACTTTGCTCCTCGTCACACAGGCTCTGCCGATGTTGGCACGACGCGCCGCGGCAACAGCACTTCCTATTGCTGGTCCAAGGTGTTGTAGAAAGCGATGACGATAAGGAGGAATCACATTCGAAAGGTGAAAACTTTGCCGTGGCAACTTTTACGCAATGTGTTGTCACTTTTGAGAAATGGTTACGCTCAGATACTTTGTCATGGGCGATGCTTCAAGTACCAGATGCGGAAGAACACGAAACTACAGGAAATGATGAAGAGGTGCCCAGCAAAAACGACGAGACACGCAGTATTGCTAGCAAAGGTTCTGTGCTTTCAAACGAGCACTCTGCCCGCACAAAGGGCGTGCCAGCTGTAGTCACGATCACTTTGGAAAGCACCCCCCACAACCGCGGTGCGCACGTAAACCCAAATGCGCTGCTCCCGCTGAAGACAAAGGAGATGTGGAGCTGGGCATGCTCCGGTTCCCTTCAGGCCTTGGAATGTACTTGGACTCCTGTGCTTTCATCGACGGGGCCGGAGTTTGATTTCCCTCTCATCACACCGTGCATCGAACGCAGCCTGCACAGGAGAGTTCTCGAGCAGACCTCCGCCACCAAGGCGTTGGGTCGGGTTTTCATGGAACGCAGCTCTTCAAAATCTATTGGTGAATCTGGATCTGAAGGAGGCAAAACACGACAACACATTCTCGTTGAAGCCTTCCCCAGCTGTGCCAAGTCACGGCTAATCTCCCTCGCAAGCCGCATCATCACAGCGACAGATGCTTCGATCAAACAGTTGGATTACTTCTTTCGGCTGCCTACAAGAGATACTTCGCTACTTAGTTTCGTGGAAGCACTGATAACAGTGTTGGCCTGGGTTACGACCTATGGCCAAAAGGAGGATCTTGTGGTGGGAATTCGAAAGTGGTACATAGAAGAGGGCGACAAGCGAGATTCAGAGGAAGACAAGTTATCCAAGGGATTCTCCAGGTTGATGTTCAAGATCGAAAAACTTGAAGCTGGTCTTCGTAAACTCCACGATCTCTTGTTGAGCCTGAACAAGTCAGCTTCTGCTGGGTCTACAAAACGAATGAAGATGGTCGACAAACTCATTGATTCTCTCTTTGGGCAGGGACCACAGGGACCAGAACAAGGAATGTCCATTGCAGCTCTGGTGGAACGAAAGGTGCAACTCTTGATCGAGAATCAGGTCGAGTCCAGAAAGAAACGAGGCACTGTTGCTCAACCTGGATCCAGTAATACGCGAAAGCGACGGAAAACGAGGCACGAGAAGCCAATTCGCAGCAGAAATCAAACGGTAGACAAGTGGCTACAAAGCGATAAGAATCTAGAAGATGACGCCTACGAGGACGAGGCCTTTCTGGATTTGGAGGACTTTATCGCGGATGGGTGATCATGGTGACTTCACATACGGCTAATGTTGTCCTAACTAATGCTGTTTTCAATTGCTTCTTCTAGCTAGCTGGTAGCTACCTAATCGGAGTAGTGCTGGAAGCTATAAACACTTTGAATTGCTTTGTCCCACCATTCTTGCCACCGGTACCCGGCAACTCCGAGCATCCCGTGGTATGCATTGCCTATGTAGTCTATCAAGCACCAGCAAGACTTGATGGCTTTGCTACCGTATCCTGGTACTCGTACCTTATTGTTCGACGGTATAATCTCAATTCTCAACAGGACCTCTGTGGAAACTCGAGTCGTGCTACCGATCGTCTCTTAAATCCTTTTGATTGTCTCCTATTTAATGGATTTCGTCTCTAAAAATAGGAGACGAAACGGATCTCTCTTAAATCTTTGTCTCCTCTTTAATCGTCTCCTATTTATCGTCTCCTTTTCAACGATCGTCTCCTATTCTCAACGGATCGTCTCCTAAGTGCCCATGTAAACTGTATGGTACGTCTCCTAAATATTTCGATCGTCTCCTATTTCGAAACGATCGTCTTCTCAATGGAAGTTTCTCCTAATGAATCGTCTCCTAAATATAGGAGACGATTGCTTTCGTCTCTTAATCATTTTGATCGTCTCTTATGCGTCGGTGTATCATCGCTTAAGTATTTTGCCACGAATGACGTTTCCACAGAGGTCCAGCCAACGACTCGACTCTGTCCCTCTGAGCTCTCATTTTGTCCGCATAGCGGACAGCGGACATCTCGGACATGTACCGGTTAGCTGCATCAGCATCACAGCACACAGCACCACGCTCAAACTTCAAAACGGATCCTCTAACAAATTTGTGCAGCGACCCGTCACGGCTCTTTTCTGCCCTACCGTGAGACTGGTTAGTTTCTCAGAAAACTCCATATAAGCTTTTTCTCGATTTGAAAAACTCCAATTGCGCGACGAAAAGTTTTTTGAATGGACCAGTAAAGGTCTCCCACAATCCCACAATCACCACAAACCGCCCCGTGCTACCCCAAGTAGCCAATTCTACATTTAGATGCCTGTATCTCAGCCAAAACTGAACCTTTTTCAAGATTGTTTGGTTGAATGCTACTCTTTTTGGAGAACTCAGAAACTCATACGATTTTAGCAAAAAGTGACTGAACTAAGTAAGTTTACTCACAAACTGCCGAATCACTAAAACACGAGTTTTCACTCTGTGGTAACTTTTCGGTTGTTTGACTTTTTCATCCCCCATGGGAATCATCAGTGCTTGGTCTATTGTGGTACTTATGAAATTGTGGTTTATGTCCGCAGGCTCGGTATGTTTCCTTGCAGGAGTTGATAAGCTTCTCCGGGGATTCTCTGACTCATTTCAGTATCTCGAGTCGCTCCCTGTTGCATAGGCTGCAGTGTCGTGTCCCGAACTCAGAAACTGTCTATTATCTTCAAGTCTTAAAATAGCATTTCTGGACACCCATATTGCTAGGTGGGTAGCTTTATGGGGTATATGCATCCCCAGAGGTGAAATTTTTCAAAATTCCTAATTTCAACCTTTTTCTTTTTAGTATTTTTAACTTTTTGTTTTTATTTCGTACTTGCCATTCAACCAGACGTACGGTAAATATTTTGGTCCGGTAATGGCGTACCTGCGTTCCGGGCGGCTGATGCAAGCTTCCATGGAGGGAAAATCGGAGTTGGCGCGGGGGTGGCAGGTGGCAGAACCAACCCGCAAAGCCTCACTCCTCACATTATCTCTCTCATTCTCAGGTTTGTAGGAGTATAATAGAGCTTTTGAAGAGTTGACCATGATATCAAGGAAGATGGTGTTTCCATCGTTACTGCTATTGATAATAAATTGGCTTGTCGTTGGCACTGCTGGGGAATTTTTAACCATTCAAGAAGACGTCTCAATTGAAGCACCAACACTTGTCTACCATGCATTATTGCAAAATGAAGACGCCCTCCCCATTGACCAAGCAAGCTCTACTCACCTGCGAGCATCCGTAAAGCCCCGGGAGTCTTCCTGGTTGGTCTCAGACAGTGAAGATGATAGAAATCTGCAAGGAGGGCCGACCTTTAGCGATGAATTTTCCATTTCCTTTCGGCTGGTTTGGAGCATGGCATTTTCGGAAGGCACCACTATCCGAGAGCCCACGCAAGACGAGTACAATGGCTTGCTATTTGCCACTTTACGTTGGCTACTTTCTTCGGCCAATGAAGCCTATGCTGATGAGTCGGATTCATTCTCTGTGAAGAGCTTTGATATGACACATTATGGCGCCAGTTTTAATGAGTCAGACCCCTTTCCGTCTATTGTCGGTATGGAATGTTCTTGCATTTTGAATGCCAACGACAGAGCCGATATCCCCTCAACTATTCAGTTCTTGGTCGCATTCAGTCAGAGCTATAACCGTACTGTATTTGTCCAAGAATACCTAAACCCTGACGAAACCCAGCCGGATCCAGGTATATATCGGAACGTGACGGAGGATATTCGGTACAATATTCTACCTTCTGCCTTGCCTGTCATTTCCAACAACGGAGGGTCCACTCTTGCAACAATCACTTTGGATCTGCAGTTTCATCTCAACATTGGATACGGAATTCCTGATCGGGAGCCAACACAAACCGAGTATGAGGGATTTCTGGCGGCCACCAGCGAGTGGCTCAATGATGTCTTTTTGCAGGCATACCCAGGCACAGATCCTGCTCAACCGTCATTCCACTTGCTGTCGTCTTCCATTGAATCTATGGATTACATCAAGAACGCGGCCCTCCCTCACAGGATTCATATTCAGTCGGCTATTTCCTTTCGACTCCCAGCTAGATACACGGGGGCAGAAGTAACTACTCAGGATGCATGGGACTTATTGAGGTCGCAAGGAATTTTGAACTATCGAAACCAATATTTGAATACTGCTGAGCCAATAAGCAGCCTTTTTAGGGGAGCATTGACCATTTCGTGGTCACCTGGGGTACCGGGGGTTTATGCTTTTGAAGTCGTTCCTTGAGGGAAGTGAATGGTGGGAATCGAGTCCATCGTATCAGGGAGTTGGATTGCAAGGAGTGCTCTTTGGGATAGTTCTGGCCGTTCACTCTGAATCAACACTAAGCTACAAGCTATTTTGTGCTACCCTTGTCCAATAAATTAAATATTTTCTATTGTGGTTGACACATTTATACTACAAAGTCTTGGAAGAAGGGAAGAAGAGACTTCAAGCACAAGAGGCTGTCTACGTCTGTGCCCCTTAGTCAAAGTTATTTTTTGAACACACAAACAAGCAAGGAGCCACCTCCCGGACGTTTTTTTCTTCAACTTCACCGTTTTGAAAATTCGACTCCCGCGTCAAATCAAATGGGAGGAGAGAGAAATCAAAAGCTACCAAATCCAAGTCGAACAAAAATACCTGTCGTCTTCCCTCGATTTCGAAAATCGTGGAAGATGTCTTGGGCTCTTGAAGTTCAGAATCGAATCAAAATGAAAATGGCGTGGAAGACGATGATTGAGCTTCGTTCGTTCGTTAGCTCACTTCTTGGCATTTGCTTCTAGTCGTTTCCGTTGCCTTTTCTCGTCAACACATCTTCTCCGCCATCGCGACCATGACGCCTCATTCTTCCCCACGCCTTTGTAGCTCTGGCTCTCCTTTGACGAAAACAAGCGCAACACCTTCGAAATCACATCACCCTCGGACGCGACGAACTCGCCGTGGACAGGGAAACAAGAAGCAAAAGACAGATCAAGAGAATTTCGACCCGCGAAACAAACCAAACGGCAATGGTAACAAGCATTCTTGCATCGCTGGCAAACCCGGGCTAAACAGCAGGGACGACGAGGGATCCATTGGGGCTGACTCTTTCAAGGACACCACCAAAGTCAACAAACAATATGTGGCGCTCGATTGTGAGATGGTGGGTGTGGGTCCTGGTGGTAAGCGATCCGTTCTAGCTCGCGTCACTGTAGTAGATTGGAACGGAAAGCCTCTCCTGGATACGTTTTTGAAGGTCCACGAGAAAGTCACAGATTACCGGACCTTTGTCTCGGGCGTCAAGCACGGTGATCTAACGGGTCCCAATGCCATGGATTTTGGAGTTTGCAGAAAGAAGGTCATCGAGCTGCTTCGCAACAATGTGCTCGTTGGACATGCAGTGCACAACGATTTGAATATCATGAAGATCATACATCCCCTGGAGGACGTGCGTGACACGAGCATGTATGAGCCCTTCATGGTAGTGGACCACTACACTGGTTATCTCCGCCCACAAAAGTTAAAGAATCTATCGAAGGTCTACCTCGGCCGAACGATCCAGGAAGAAGGCACTTGCCACGACAGTTGCATCGATGCCCAAACCGCCCTCGACCTCTACAAGTCAGTTCAGACTGATTGGGAAAGCGCCGTTTCCCAAGCACAGACGCACTATGCCGCATTTGGTCCACCCTTTGGACGATACCAATACCAAGGAAGCTACAACTAAATGAACAGAGACCTGAAAGGACGTAATGCAAAACTCAAAAGGGAGGCCCAATGCACTGGGAACGCGTTAGAAAGCAACCTTCAATTAAAATAGTCAAAAACTGATCAACAGAAGCTCGCTACACAGGTGTATTGTTGCTCTTTTCTTCTGCCTTTGTATCCACAGCTTCACTGCTCTCTGTGTCTACAATTGCCGCAGTAATTGTTTCCTTGGGTGCGGGAGGTGGGTTGGTGGTAGTGGCAGGCATCGCAGATGATGCTGCCTGCATAGCTGTGACAGCTTGTGTGAGCAAGGCATTGACGTCGGCAGGTCGTTCATTGAACAGAATGGTATTGCTCTGCTTCCCCATTTCACCATACATGGTCACATATTCTCGAGCTAGTGCAAGTCGAGCCGCCTCTTGTCCACCAGGTTTGTTGAGTTCAGCTGAAATGACTCTCAAGGCTTGTGCTTGCGCCTCGGCCAGATTTGATATTGCTTGCGCTTGACCTTGAGCTTCCAGCTGGATCTTTGTTTTGGTGGCATCTGCTTCATTCTTGATCTTGATCAGGTTACCTTCCGACTCATTGGTGAGGCTAATTTTGACTCCCTCAGACTCCAATTCAGCCTTTCGTTTGGCTCCCTCAGCTCTCAAGACTTGCTCACGTCGGTCACGTTCTGCGGCAGCCTGTTTGTCCATAGCAATTCTAATTTGTTGATCTGGTGTGATTTCTGTGATTTCGTATCGTCGGATTTCCAATCCCCATGGAATGGCTGCCTCCTGGAGGCTTCCCTTGATCAAACTATTGAGGCGTGCACGCCCATGCAGAATCTCATCCAACTCCATCTCACCAATGGCAGATCTCATGGCAGACTGAGAGTGCTGATTTTATAACCCAGTCAAATCAAAGAGTCATTGTCCAAAAGCCACGCAGGGTACCACAGTAGATGCATTAATTCCACGCGTGAGTGAGTGCGATGCAGTGGATGTCAGGCTGAAAAGATAAGATACATATACATACCTGTGTAACACTGTAGAGTGGATTGAAAGCACCATAGGCAGCCCTTTCAGGGTCATTAAACCTAACAAACAAGTTGCCCGAGACTTCCACAGAAACATTGTCTCTGGTGATGGCTGATTGTGGTGGTATATCCATGGCACGCTCACGGATATCAATGATGTACGCAATCTTGTCAACAAATGGAATTCCAAAGAACCATCCAGAGTCTTCAATGCTGTGAAGCTTCCCAAATCGTTCTACCACAAACCTGTTAAAGATATATCCAGTACAGTACGTATGGTTCATTAGCGGGCACAATCGTACCACGACAGGATGAAAAATCAAACCCAAGACTTACTTGTGACCTTGTGGAACAATATTGAAGATGGTGTTGGGTTGTGTTACAGGCCATTGCCAGGAGTTGCCGCCGCCACGGTTACCCAAGAGACCGCCCAAGACATACGAGCTCATTCGCCGAGACTGATATGCCGATGCCGACTGAGGAGCAACTGACGCCAAAGGCGAAGAAAGAGCCTGTGGAATACATGGCACTGCTTGAGTCTGGAAAGTCAACAGGCCCCGTCGTTGGAGGAGCGATCCAGCAGCTCTCATGTTGATGTCTCTCCTTTTCCGTCGCGGATAATGCAAGAATAACCGAAAGGGTGAGAGAGGTTGGATGTTGGTCTTTGAATGAGACGACGAACGACGATGGCCATGGAAACTGTGAGATCGAGGATCCTTTGGTCGATGAGTCAACAGCCGTTTTTAACACGAATGCAGAGTACATCAGAGTTAGAGTTATCCTTTGCCAGAGTGGAGGCAAGTCAGTCAGTCTAGTTGTCTTCTCGATGATGAAAGAACCATGGCTCAACTAGATGTACCGGTACCGGTACAGTAATGTCAATTAGCTCTGGAGTGTAAGCAAAATCTCCCCCGCACACTCTTTGGGTTGGACCTTGCAATTCATCTATTTAATTATATCTTGCAGGAATTTACTAAGCAATTAGATCTGTGGATTCCTTCTGGCGGTTGAGAATCAAAACCAGAACTCTAGCTAGGGTCTATTACATTTGTTCTATTCAGCAAAAGCAACCAACTATCTTGCAATACACACTCGGGGGTGGAATCGAATCATCTACATGTACTAGACTACCAAAACGACTTGCGTTTGCCTCCAGCAGATCCCGCACAGTAGACTTCCACTTCCACCAGTTGAAACCGCCCACGAATGGGCCACTGGTTGCTAAAGTCATAAGCACCCGAGAAGGAACATCGTCCCTGTTTCAGGTTGCCAGCATTGGCAGATACATTTTCCATATCTGGCCCGGCGAACCCTCCCATGATTGCAGCCTGAGGAGCTCCCAGAACTAGATCTTCAGCTCCAAAGTTGGGACCTCCAGTGGCATAATCGTAGACACCGGCATTGCTTCCTGGGTAGATTGGACTCTTGACTGCTTTGCTGCCCTGGGCATGCCACAAGAATGCAGTGTTACTCAAGTAATAATCATCGGTACTTCGCCATCCATTGGGGTTGAATCCTCCAACAGTGACACCGGTGCGTGTTCTTGCAACAACCAATCCGGATCCCTTGTCGTCGACTTTGGTATGGAAATCAATGGCCGACCAACCATCTCGTGATGCCTTGTAACAGCACTCAAGGTTGTCAATATTCGATTCCAGATAGGTTCCTGACAGCAGTGACTTGAGCAGACCTTTGTTTCCAAAGAGGATTGGTTGCGGGGGAGCAATGCCTCCGATGGAGGAAAGGGTATCCAAAATGGAATTGAGTTTTGTTTCTTGTCGAAAAGTGGTTGCAGCCGTGGGATTTTGGACAAAGGCCGATGATAATTGGTCACAGGTCAGAGCCCACAGACAGCCAAACCACAACAAGCTCTTCATTGTCTCTTCTTTGTCGAGTGTGTATCTGCGAAATGGAAGAGGCAAGCAGCCTTGGAGGAATAACGCAAGCAAGCAACGGCGCAATGTGAAGGTGTGACGTGTTCGAAAAACTATTGGAATTGTTTGTTCAACGGTACAACTGGCTTATAATTTTGTTATCTGAACCGGAATGCAAAGATAGCAAGAATTAAGCAAGAAGCGAAGAAGACACACATTGCAAGCGGCTGGGACAGAAAGGACGAGTACAATAGAGTGAGATTGCCATCCCCCAGGATTTGGATCAATCAATTCTTGAGACTCGACTCAGCCTGTTGCGATAATCTGGGTGAAGATGACATTCCTGGATGTTTTCCTTCTTTACGTGTGCCCCACTTTGGGCGGCTTGATGAGTACCATCATGTTTGCAGCACCCATCAATGATATGCGAGAGGCATTGGCAGCGGGTACGTCTTGGAAACGCGTTGCTTTGATTGGTGTGACTATATATTCGGTACAGTATACTAATGATTGATTTTCCTTGAATTCAATTCCACAGGCACTGGAGGAGACCTCAATTTCTTTCCGTTTGCCATGATGACTGGGAACACAATCGGGTGGCTGGCATATGGCTACTTTACACAAGATCCATTCATCATTTCGTCCAATCTTCCCGGCTTTATTCTGAGTCTGTGGCTGAATATGGGGGCAGCCAAGATCCAGTACATGGAAATGAAAGAAAAGCAAACCACAACTGTTGCAGAACGGAATCAAGTCATGCAACGTTGGGATGCCGACAGAGTCTCGGAGGACACAGAGGAAAACATGGCTAGGCAGAGAAGAAGACGACAATCCACAGTAGGAGAAGAAGAAGAAGACGGTCTCTTTCTCACAAATGAAACAGCCGCTTCAATTGAATACTTGCAAATGACACCCCAAGAGACACTGCTGCTTCGTGTCTTGGTCTTTTGGGCCTGCATCATCACATACACCAGTTGGCTTTATCCGAGTAGTGGGGATCCCGCCAACATGGTGGGAGTCATTGTCAACATCAACCTCGTCGTGTTCTATGCGGCGCCTCTCAAGTCGATTCAAACGGTTGTGACAGAGAGGAACTCTGCTTCCATACACTATGAGACAATGGTACTAATGAACAGCAACACTATGGTAAGGAGCTTTCTGTCAACAGTATCTGACCTGTATTTGCTCCCGTTTGTTTAGGTAATGAACTGGGTAAACACAACATTCTGGTAAGAACACTCAACAAGAATTTGCTCAGGTGTTTTTTGTGGTAGGTTTTGTCTTGCTTGGTATTCATTTGCTTTGTGTTACGTTGCGTTGCTTGAAATTGGCACAGGTGCTTGTATGGAATGGCCAGAAGGGACGTTGTGATCCTGCTACCCAATGCAACGGGTCTCATGCTGGGAATTGCTCAGGGGGTCCTGTGCCTCCTCTATCCCAGGCAACCCAACAGTGGAGGCGCTGCTGCTCGGTTGTCACTACACGAACTCGAATCGGACTTGTTGCCGGACAGCGCCGATTCCAATCCAGAAGAGATAGTGCCAGAGTCAACCACGGAGCTAACGACCACGGCTAAGGCACAAGGAAAGAAGGCTACATCACATGACACCCCAGAGATCATCTAATATACGCCAATGCTTGTGTAAGGCTTGAATCTAGATTAGCTAACAAGGATTATGCACTTCTCGGCTATGATCCTTTCTTTTTCACAATTTGTTCGGATTAAGGCCGGAAATGAGCTACTTGAACATGACTGTTGGATTCCTTATAAGGCACCGATAGACCGTGTGCCCCAGCATTGTTAGCATAGTTCACGCTCTCGTTCTTTTTGGGCTTTTCTGTCGTGCTGTCGTCTCCTTCTTCCGACGTGAGGTCTTCGTCGCCAATTGTGCGAAGGCGGCCCATGGCAACGATTTCCATGCCCTCTTCGCAGATGACAGAGCTTCTCCTTGTTTCGATTTTGCTAGTGTGCATTTCGAAGATGGTGTCTGTGGGCGACTGCTTTATCCAGGTTTTTTCTTTCTGGAGAGAAGATGAACTCCACGTCCTCCTCACGCTTAAATCAGGTGTCGTGTCTCCTTGCCTGTCGCCGAATTGCTCGAGGTTGTGCTTCATTTTGACAGTCACCTCAGAAGCGTCGACACTTCCACTCATCAAGCTGCCGCGGGCAGTCACGAAGCTTCTAGCGTAGGCAACCGTTCCTGCCTTTGGGCTCATGTCGTCCCTGCTGCCACAATCACTCGCCAACTCTGTCGCAGTGGAGAAACTCCAAGTTATTTGGCTTTGGCATGATTTCGGGCTAGGTCCAACGTCCAAATCAAGGGCTTCAGCGTCGGCAGCCTTGTCTTGACTTGATCTGGAGCTGCTCTTGACGAGGTTCAAATCTAGAGGTTCCAGTTGTGAATTGTCTTCTTCCGTGGCAGTCCCAGATTCGGTAACAGCCTTGTCTCGAGGTTCCAAATCCTGAGGTTCCGGTTGTTGGTCATTTTCTTCTGCCTTAGCTTCTTCAGTCTTGGGTTCCAAGTCTAGATCTTCCTGTTGTTGATTGCTTTTCTCAGTGGCATCTTCAGCAGCCTTGCCTCTGGGGCCTTTCAGCCGACGTTCCAACGAGCCAGCTATTGCTTTCGTCAGGGCTACTGCCTTGCTCTCCGCGTACACCGTTTCTGCCTCAACCTTGTCCTTGTCTGTCTTCAGATCGGGAAGGTCAAGCATCGCAGTTGCACAGTCGTCTTCTTTTTTCTCTTCTTCAACGTCCTGTTCTGGCGTCACGAAGTCCTGTTCTGGCGTCATGAAGCAAGCATCATTGTTTTGTGTCCTCGCATCAGGTTCGTGCGACGGTGTCATGAAAGATTTCATGCTATCGCTTTCTTCTTCTTCCGGTGGGTGTGGCTCTGAGCCATCATCGTCCTGCAAAGGCGTCATGAAGGATGCGCTCATTACGTAGTGTTGATTCTCGCCGGGCTTAGGATAAGTCTGCAGAGGCGTCATGTAGGAGGCGGTTTCGTCAACCTCATATCCTTGCTGACTGACAAACGATGATTGATACGACTTTGTGTCGTCCAGCGATTTCAGTTCTTCCAAAGAATTTGTTTTGCTGTCGTGTTCACTGTCTTCTTCTTCCGGATCCTCATCATCCTCTTCATCAAGGCGCTCTTGTACAAGTTTCCGCGCCGTTGTCTTCAGAAACTGATGCTTCGTCTTGGGGCTGCCCGTCGAGCAATTCTCAAACGTCTCGTTTTGGCTTTTCAAACCGGTGGGCGAAAGAGACACGGTAACTTCCGTGTCATCTTTCGTGTCGGATATGGATTCCTCGTGTTTGTGTTCGAACAGAGTAACCTCGTATCCCATGTCGTCAGGAAGCTCTTGGTCTATTGAGGTTTCAACTGCACGAGACGACAGGCGCTCTTCAATGTCTTGCAGTCTGGCCAGTTGCTGTTCAAGTTCAGCAACTCTGGTCTGGCTGTTCGCTGATTCCTGCTGAACCATCTGAAAGCCTATCTTGGTGTGCGGGATCATGGCGCCGTACAATTGTTGTCCGGGAATCCTACTGGTCGCAGGCATTCTATCGGCGCCCTCGTTGGGGACATGCCTCGCGAGGGACTCATGAAGCGGCCGATCATAATGCCGAGGTAGATTCTCGCTGGGGACCAATGTAACAAACTCCCCAAAGGCAAGACACTTCACATCTTTGAGTTTCACTGCCTCCTCTCTCCTGATTCTTGCCAGACGACTTTGTTGGCGGAAGTCTTCAAGCTCTCGAGCAGCTTTGTCTTTGTTCGATTGTTGTAAGTAAATGTCCACGAACTTCATGTGTGGGCCAAGACAACCCCAGACGACAATCCTTCCAACTAGATAAAGGATGAATCGCCACGGCAGGAGAAGACCCACGAGGCCGAGTCCCGAATAGGTTGCAGCGATCCAAAAAGATTTGGTGCTGTCCTCCCAAATGATGATGCTCTTGATCCTTCGTATCCTTGTGCAGATTCTCCCAACAATACCCTGATATCTTCCCAGCTTCTCCAGCAGGTCGACCGGTAGCATCTGCCCAGACACTGCCGTTGTAATGTTTTCGTCTCCAATGGACATCAACTTCTCTTCCATGGCCGCCCTGGAATCAAGACTGCTTTGATACCGTTCCAGCCACTCATGAATCGCAGCGTCGTACTCTTCGGTTTGTTTTGAATATTCATGTGGTCGAATGTAATGCTTGACGCCAGTAGTTGACTTCCCGGTGGCTAGCACTTCGATGTAATGCCAAAACGAGTTGCATGTGTGCCATGGTGACGGAGTTGCGCGACGGTGGCTCATGGTAGCAAGCATGAACCATGCTACAAAGAGACAGTAGAACGGCACTATGAGGTCTGGTCTTTCGATCAAGACGGTGCCCGAGACAAAGAGCACGGCTGAATGGACTGGCAAGCGAATGGAGCAAATCTCCACTTGTCCTCTCCAGAACACCAATGACCAAAAAGACTCTCCAGTGTAGAATTTGATTGCCCTCCAATATTCCAAGATTTCTCCAATGTACGATTTGGTGACGGCCCAAGTAAACTTTTCTTCGATATCATATTCACCAAAACAGGTGTAGCGTAGTACCTTGAACGTCTTGTGCTTTCTGGTGTTGACATGGAACACGGGCGTAGGTTGCCGTGCGGCAAGAAGCGCAGCCTTTTCGTCGTTGTACTCTATTCTTATCCGAATGGTGATGATCCCATTGGGTTCTCGCTCCGAAAGATCGGACGTTGGATGCAGTTTGTATTTGAGAGTGTACGCCGTGTTGCTCTGAAAGTTGGTGAGATTGACGGCAACTCTTCCAATGGGCTCATGCCCACCAGGTCCCAGATCATAATCCAATACTCCCAGATAGAGAGTACTGGAAGGGTGCACTATCCCAATCCTAAAGGCCCTTTGCGTCCACGGCATCCAATGAGGACTGAGCTCATCATCAATCACTGGCGTCTGGACCATGACGTCCTCAAATACGGCACACACAAAACTATCTGTCAAGTTTCCTACCGCCTCCCCAACATCGACATTGGGCAGTCCATGACAGGACAGGATTTCAAGATGAAGTGTTCCAACGCTCCCCGACCCGGCGTCAGCCCACTGTAGAGATGGCTTTCTAGTTTCCTGCGATATTTGGAGTGCCGTCATGAAAGTTGTTTCTTCCACTCGGTTAGGATCCGGTCCAGGTTTGATTCTAAGTTTTCGGAGTCCACTTTCTCTGTCACTCCTTGTGGATGCTTTGAATGCATAAGCCAGGGCGTCTCTAATGAACTCTCCTGCCACTTGTGATTCGTTGGTTTCAGTGACTGTTTCTGCAAGGGGTAGCTTACTACCTTCTACCAATAACAGTTCCTTGACAGGGTTGACAAGTTGACTATCTGATCTACTGAAGGATGTCTGCGAGGACAAGGCAGGCGGTGAAATGCCCCGTGCTCTGAGCAGCTCCACCAATCGAACGTCCGATTCTGTTGCCAGTCGGAATCTGAGTGCAATGGAACTATCCGCATATTCCTGTGTCCCATGCAGGTCGAGTAGAGGCAGCTCCAATCTTTCTTCATTGCAGTATTTGAGCAGACTTGTTCCTGGAATCTTGATTTTTCCGAGAAAGTAAGTATCCATGTCAAGCAGCACTGCTCCTCGTAAGGAGGTGACATTCTTCTTGGACCATACCGAGATCTGTAGTTGCTCGTGCAGTAGTGCACTGGGAGACACTTGTAGCAGGAACACAGATCCCGTGGAGATGGTCCAAATGGGGTCTCTTCCCGTTTCAGCAGCCGGACTGGTAAAGTGGATTGTTTTCTCTTCAAACTTGACAATGCAGTAGGGTCGCAGATGCTTCACTTTCAATTTGGATGTCACCAACTCTTCCGTTGACAACTGGTAGGCACCCACCAATTCGCCCAGAATAAGAATGTCATCAGCTTCAGCCTGGGCCAATGGGGGGGCCATCGAGGATTCGCTGTCGTCTCCCATTATCAACAACACCGCAGCAGCCAGCAACTCACAAAGTCAGAGCCCAGCCAAGTTATTCAAATCATTCGACAAAATGGCGACAGAAACCAAACCTCTTGCGATTGATGTTTGCACATTCTTATTGGATTCCTAGCAACCGTTTGGTTTGCTGAGTTTACTCTCCGATACAGTGTAGGGAACATGTTGTTTGTTGGCGGCACTTGTCGGCTCGCCGTTAGAGGATAGCCAACGGCCAGTGGTCGTCGCCAAGGTGCTCTTGACACTTCCAGTAAGGCTAAAGCTATTTCATGTGATGATAAGGTCAGAGCTAAAACCTTCGACACGTCATCATGTCTGCGAATTGCGTTCGAGCTTTCGAGGTTGAGCTGCGATCTTTGAAGGTCAACTTGATTGGCCGTGCTTTTTGCAGGAGACGCAAGTCGCAGCTCCATCATCACAATCTGCTCAATATTCCAGTGTGTATCAAGATGGCCCCTCTCCGAACTCTCGCTGCTCTTCTCTGCCTCACCGGCGCCTCTGCTTTCGTCCCTGTCAAGCAACAGGTGAACAGGTACGCAAGAGACTCTGAAGAAATGACAGACTAGCTAGCCCTTTGCATTGCTTTCGCAGGTACTAACGGATCTCTCCCTCTCTCCCCTATTTCAAACTCTCTCTCTTGAATTGCAGCCCAACTGCATTGAACATTATCAAGCCTGAGGTCTACTCTGATGCTGTAGCCGACTGGGAGCAGCAATTCCCTGGCTTTGCCCAGTGGGGATGGGGACCTTCCGTCCAGGCCGAAAAGTGGAACGGACGTCACGCCATGTTCGGATGGTTCTTCATCTGCGCCACTGCTTACTGCAAGGGACACGGATTGATCCCTGATGCCGACATGGCTCTTGACTTCAAGGAATGGGGAACCCTCGCCACCATCTCCGGAAAGAACACCATCACCAACGAACGTGCCATCATCCTCATCGCCAACGCCCACGCCTTCGGAGTCTCCCTAATGGCAGCCATGTGCCCCATGCCCTTCAGTGATCCTCTCTTTGCCGACAAAAACAGCCCCAACTACGACAAGATCATGGCCCAAGAAGGATACGGATACTTGCCCGCTTTCAAGACCGGCCTCACCGAGGAAGCCGAAATTATCAACGGACGTTTGGCCATGGTTGGACTTACCTCCCTTGTCACCTACACCGCCATCTCAGGAAAGGGCATGATCGACATTGTCAACGAGTGGGTTGGTGGAGCATACTACTAAACACCTGCTTAATTGTGTGTGTTTGTAGCTATGCCATGCTCATTGCTACTGACTGACCTTTTGCATAGATCTTGTACTTACAGTAAGATTAGTCTTGGCTAGTATAGACCTACAAGCGCAATATCCTTTGTGGTACATGTAGTTAGTATTATTCTACTTTCAACCGCCGACGTTTGCAAGCAGCTTGATGCTCATAATTGTAATGAATGGAAATTGATGCAATCCCTTTTATGAAGAAAGAACTCTTCAGGGAAGCTTCAGCCCACTGGCGACCGCGAACGAGACATCGCAACCAGACATGCGCACGGATTGGCTGCGGCAGCTGCTCTGGAGACACACTACTAGCTAGTACAGGTTCTTGAAGTGGAGCCATGATTCGGTCCTCATCTTCGAGATGATACCGGTACTCCACATGAACTACTAGCTAGCTAGCAGAGCTGAAGAACCTGGATCGCTTCATGCAACAAGCAAACCAAGAAAGCAACCCTGGGAGTGCCAGACCCAGCTCGGACGGCAAAGACAACATGTAGTACTGGTAGCGCATTATTGTCATGTTAAAGAACCTCTAAACAAAATAACATAGATTGTAGCGTGGCGAGAAAAAATAGACCATCGCAAGGGATCATTGCCATAGTACAAAACCACAGACGAGTTTACTCCTTCTCCTTTTCGTCATAATCGTATTCTCGGCCCTTGGTCTTCTTGAGCTCTGCGGCATCAATTCCTTGGTAGGCCTTGCCAGCATTGTAACCATGAAACACTTTCGCTGTGATTTCGACCTGTGCATCCGCCGGGACCAGCTCCTGGGGGATTTCGATCCGATTGACGATTTTGATTCCAGTGTTGATGATTGCGTTGTATTTCATGTCGGACATGGAGATGAAGTTGTGAATCTTGGTGACTCCAATGAAATGCAAGGGATCAGGCATGAGCGCCTGGAATCTGGTGTCTTGCACTCCTGCCACTTGTTCCGTACACGAAAAGTATCGCTCTGCAGAATCGCCGCCCTCTTGGCGTTTGCGTGTATTGTAGACGAGGTATTTGGTGACCTCACCCAATGATCGTCCCTCCTTTCGGTAGTAGATGAAGACTCCACAGCCTCCCTTTTGGGCAGTTCTGATGCATTCCTCAATGGCATGCGTCAAGTATGGCCGACAGGTACAGATGTCACTGCCAAAAACGTCACTTCCGTTACATTCGTCATGGACACGGCACGTGAGCTCAATATCTTCGTCAGGAATGGTGTCCGGATCTCCCCAAATGTACACAGTAAGGCCACCAATGGGAGGGAGGAAAATCTTAATATCCGGGCGAGTGATGAGCTCAGGGTACATGCCTGTCAGAAAGCATACACAGGAGCGATAAAAGCGGGACTTGTGAGTAGCAGCCACACCAAATAGGAAAGCCAGTGTGAATTCCAATAGGAATGGAATGGAATCGTTCGACCTTACCATTGGTCATTCGAAAGATGGATTGACGCAAATTGGATTCAGTGGTTTCGAATCGACGAGCAATTTCAGGCAAATACCAGACGGGTTCAATAGCAGCCTTGGAAACGATGGATTGTCCCGAGGGCATGAGAATTTTGCCATCAGGTTTGAGTCTACCTGCTGCAATAGCTTCACGGCATTCTGGCAAATCAATATGAGCCTTAGTGACTGCAATGGTGGGTCGAATATCCCATCCCTTCTTGAGCCAGTCACCATAATATTCGGTTGTCATGTGACCGTATGGGTCGATCGAGCCAATCTTTCCGCCACAAATAATATAGAAACTGATGAGAATACGGTAGGTCAAGTTTCTTTCTTTTTGATGAGCAGCAGTATTGTTACCAACCTTTTTGGGATCTGACCACGATGGGTATGGTCCAATCTTCATCACGGGACTGGTCAACTTGAGATTTGGCACATAATCCGGATTGAGTTTTCCGGCAGCCACAGCCAGGCCGGTATAAATGCAATAGCTCCCCTGATGGGCTCCAATAGCATTTCTCTGTGCAGCATGGCGTACCGTACAAATCACTGGTGCTCGAACCTGAGGATCTGGATGGCCCCATGAAATAGGGACAGGATTGACGCCAAAGGCATCCGGGTGCGATGTCAAGGTGATGTGACTATTCTCGGAGACTTCGGGCTCAGGAATGCTCTTGTCTGTTTTTTCCCCACAAGAAACGACATTCAATTGTAAAATGCAAGAAAAAAGACTTGTTGTCAGCAAACTCGAATTTTGGAGAACATCACTCATAGAATAACTAACTCGCCCAGTCCATACCTTCTTCTTTCTTTGCCTTTTTGGCTGGGCGTTCCTCCAGTGGTTTGAACACCACATCGGGAGAATCGGGCTCCATGGCTTCAGGATCACGAGCGGCTGGTGGCATGAGTTTTGTGATTGAATTCGAATCTATCAGTCCATGTATTATTTTGTGAGAACGAATCTAAATCGGAACAGAAAATGCAACTTACTTTGTGTGCGAAACCCGTAGCGAAGATCCAGGGAAGGAATCTAATCTGAGATATTGCCTAACTGGTAGATAGTAGCTGATATTCCTGACGCAAAAGATGCCAATGCCATGCATCCAACGTCGACGTCTATCCCACTCCCTTCCCAATCAGAAGCTATGAGAATGCATTTTTTTCCAAATTCTGTCAAAGTTGAACTGAACCGGGAAGGTTCGGCTCGGGTTGGGGACGTCATGGAGGCGAAGACAATTAACTAACTTAACCCTAATAAATCTAGTCATTATTCGATTCGATATTACTCGAGTCAATTCAATTCGAGTCGAGTCGAGTCGAGGGCTCCGACAAATCGAATGGACTTGCGGAAGAAAGCAAGCTCAAAGTGTAGACATCGCAATTGATGATTCATTGTCACAAACGGTGGAGGGGCCTGCTATGCATAGCTATGACATATGCAGAGGGACGGTAGCTAGCTACCAGGTAGCTGGCCAGAGCAGGGGATAAGTTCATGTTCCAAGTGACGTTGGCGTTTGATTGGCTGTACTGGTACGAGACCGGAGAGACAATGTGCTGCTCATTGTGCAGTCTTGCTGGAGTCAATGGTGCTACCGGTACCGGTATTTCAGCTGACAGATTGCATCGAATCATTCGATATGCAGCCACCGTCGCCCCTCCTTGCAGCTTGCTGCGGCGGCTTTGAACGAGTTCAATCAATCAATCAATCAATCCTTATATACTCCCTCAAATCGCAAGTCTCAACTTCCACGAAGGCTGGCTGCTTGCACACAAATCACACCCCGTTACACAGGCCATGTCTCCGTCGCTTTCGCAAATTGTGCCACTCGATTCGATGCATTCAATAGAGTCAATACAGCAATTTCCAGACCCACCCGAGAGAGGACAGCACATCCCATACTTCCACAGGTTGCTTCCGCAGGAACAAGCACTTCCGATAGAACCAGACAAGATACCATCGGCACGGGGGGTTCATTGCTCCAAGAAGGACAGTCAGCCCCAGCCAGCACTTATTTTCTTTCACGTTGTGATGTTATAGCCCACTGACATCCCAGGATGCGAGATCATGTTGAACACCCCTTGCGTTCACAAACATACCGGCCAAAACCACCAACGACGGTACAAGCACAAGCAAACCAGCCATAGCCAACCTAGGTCGAGGCACCAATGGCGTTGCAACACGAGCTCACAAACTACACTGAGTGCAAAGGTCCACATAATCAGAGCAGCAGTTACATCAATTAGTATGGAAGAGACTGACCATCCTACCATGGCCCAATTACTACAGTTACTGCTACTCCTTTCTCTTGCTCCACTCCACGACAATACAAACATTGCAATGGAATGAATAGAATGATTGTTTGTTAGTTTAGGCGACCATGGTGGAAGCGGTGGCAGACTCGTACTTCCAGTTAGCAGGAAGCTTTCGGGTGGTACGGTAGTACCGAGCAAGACGATGGATTCTGGATTCAATAAGAATCAATCGGAACTTGGAGTCCTTGTCCTTTCGGTTGCGTTCCAAATGCTTACGGACCTGAACGGCCTTTTTGATGAGCATGTAAAGATCCTCTGGAACTTCGGGTGCGAGTCCGCTGACCTTGAGGATACGAACGACGGTGGATCCGGTAATGGACTTGACCGAGGCGACACCGTGGGAATCACGGAGAATGACACCAATTTGGGAGGGAGTCAATCCCTTTTTGGACAACTTGCAGACCTTTTCCTCGACTTCGGTGACGGTGGTCTTGGCCCACGAAGGAGGGGCGCGTTTGTAGGGGCGGGCACTACGGGAGATACCCTTTCCTGGTGCGTGCATACGACCCATCTTGAGAGTTGGTTAAGCAACTGAAAATTGCAATAAAAATAACAACAAGTGAGATGACAGTTTAGGAGGGAAAAAAGTCGAGAAACACGGATTTTACCCTCGATGGTTGCTGTTGTACTGTATTCCATGGTTGCTCTGTTCCTTGCTATGGTAACAGATAATTACGGGAACAGAGACAATCCATGAACTCGGCTACAATAGAGCAAGCCATGAGGCCACTCACATGTGCTGATAGAAGGAGAAGAAAGGTAGCGACGGGACTTTTTGTCTTGGTCAAGTCGTCTTGCAACAAGAGTTGTGCTTGAGAGGAATTGCGATGGGATGGATGTTGGCGGCTGTGGTTCATTTACCTCTCTACTAAAAACGGGCAAAGGCCAGACCACACATGCTTCCTGGTAGTCAATTCTACGTGTATCTACGTAGCCGCATTTCTTGGCTACCCTTGACCCTCCACAGCACAGCGCCAACAGGAGGATCACCCACAACAACAAAGAAGAACAAGTTGCCGTCGTTGTCGCTCCTCTCTCTTTGCTGCCAAGTTAGTCAACATGTACGTATCTACTGGGATAGATCTCGGGCCGTTCTGTAGAGCACGATGTAGCTGTGGATGCTCTGCAGTTGGGTTTAGTTAGATTAGTTTAGTTTGGTTGGTTAATGGATGGTCTGCTCACCCTCTCTCTCTTCCGTACAATTGATTGGACTATCTTTTCTATTATCACAGGCCCCGCGGTCCCCGAAAGCACTTGAAGCGTCTCCACGCTCCCAAAAAATGGAATCTCGCCAAGATGACGGGTGTGTTTGCACCCCGTCCTTCGGCTGGACCTCACAAACTGCGTGAATGCATCCCCGTTTGCGTTATTCTACGTGACAAGCTCAAGTACGCGTTGACCAACAAGGAATTCATGCAAATCTGCATGGAACGTTGCGTCAAGGTCGACGGAAAAGTCCGTACCGACCACAATTTCCCCGCTGGATTCATGGATGTCATTGAATTGGAAAAGTCAGGAGACCGATTCCGTGTCATGTTCGATATCAAGGGACGTTTCGTCTTGCAACGATTGGATCGTCAAGAGGCTCAGTTCAAGCTCTGCCGTGTCAGCAAGGTCTATGTCAGTCAAGGAAAGGTCCCCGTCGCTGTCACCCATGATGGACGTACCATCCGATACCCCGACCCGGATACCAAGGTCAATGATACCATCAAGGTCAATATCGAGACTGGAAAAATGTCCGATATCATGAAGTTCGAACTTGGTGCTATGGTCATGCTCACACGAGGTCACAATTGTGGACGTGTCGGAACTTTGCAGCACATTGAAAAACACGAAGGGTCCTTTGCTATTGTCACCATCAAGGATTCCAAGGGTAACGTATTCAGCACTCGTTTGGAGAATTGCTTCGTTATCGGATCTGGATCCACTCCACAAATCAGTCTTCCCAAGGGACGTGGTGTCAAGAAAACTATCCTTCAGGAAAGAGCAGAAGCCGAAGCTGCTGGACGTCTCTAAGAAATCAAAATGTGCTAGGCATACCGTAGCAAATGACATAAACAGAGTAGTAGGTGATTGTAGGTTCTGCATGCATGAGAACAATAGAGCATACTACCACAGTACAACCAGAAGTTCAGGAACCAAAGGATGCTACCTGGAACCGACGCGGGAAACTGCCTTTAATGTAATGGACACTAGCCATATTCGTAATTAGACAACAAACGTGCAGCCCACTTCCACCGGAGGTAGCCAAGAAAATATGGGTAGCTAGGTAGTGCTATCGTAATGTAGACATTTCTGCAGGGGTAACCAAAAACTGACTGGCTCTTGCTTGCACTTTTGATGGGTTCAAAAACTAAGACCCAGCATCAACAGACAAGAATGCAATCTTAGCTGACCATGCAAAGACCAGTCTTGGCTCAGTTCATGGAAAGTGCATAATGGCTAAATAGCCCCATTTCTCACATCCACACATTACAGGGACACCAGTTGCAACCACAAAGCTCCTGACTGCAGTCAAAAGAGAGACCCAACCATACAGAATCATTCCATGGACCCAGCGAGCAAAGCACTGTTGGAATAGTTCCTGTGATTCCAGTAGAATTGATGTTCATGCCCCTCAATGATCCATCAGTAACCAGGGATCCCAGAGAACTCGGCAGTGAGCTTTTCAGTTCATTGTGATTTAGGATAAGGTACTTTGTGTTGGTCAGCAAACCCAACTCTGAGGGAACCGAGCCAGTCAGGGTATTGTGATTCAGAATCAGGTTTGCGTTGGACAGCAAACCAAGTTCTGAGGGAACTGATCCTTCCAGTTGATTTTGTCTCAAATATAGCCACTCAATATCCAAAAGTGAGCCAAGCTCACTTGGGATTACTCCAGAAAAAAGTACATTGTCGGAAAGATCAATGACTTCTACATCAGAGAACCGGCCCAATTCGGATGGAATCTTCCCAGTCAGTATGTTTTGCTGAAGAAAGATACCTGTGAAGCCCACTGAGGTTGGTGAGCTGTCCAATCTCTGTGGGTAGAACTCCTGAGAAGCCATCAAAATTAAGAAGAATCAATATCAGTTGTTCAAGGTTGCCAATCTCAGATGGAAGAGTACCATTCAGAAGAGGATTGCCAGTGAGAGGGAACCTTTGAGGCCATTGACTTGCAGCCAGAGATTAAGCAGTTCCTCACTTTCCTGTCCTCCAAGCCAAGCAACAAAGACACTCTTTGGAATCCAGTAGTTTCCCACCAGGTTCTTGTGTATCAACCATGGGAATGCCTCCCGATTGTAGGACAGCCAATTGTTTGATTCATTCCAGCTTGTGTCTCCTCCTGTGGCATAGTAGAAACAAACCAGAGCAGAGTTTTCCACCAGCTGCCATGGCTCTAGTGACTCAAAATTTGGGTCACGAATTGTCCATTGAAAAGCCTGAGTTTGAGGAGAAAGCTGATCTGATGACAATGTTCCATTGAGTGGCCATTGGTTGATGGTGGCAACTGTGTTATTTGGTAGCAAGGGCAACAGAGAAGCTGCCTTTGAGCTTTTCATCTCTTCTATGGAATTACTGGAGATTTCCTCGTTCTTTGCCTCAGATGGTGGGGTAACTGAAGTGATTTCTTTTGGTTGATTCTGACTACTGTCGTCTGCAGGAACAGCCTTTTTATCCTGCGGTGTGTTGCTCTTTTGTTGTGATATCGTTATCTGCTGAATCATTGGATTGCAACCCAATACTGGGCATCGAGTTTTGGGATTCAAGATTGTCACCCGTGTCGGTGTCAGGGTTGTGTCGATCATGTTGGATAGCGGCATCAATCTCAATATGTTGGTCCATCTGATTGCTGGGTGGATTCGCTGCATCTTCAATCCTATCTTCTTCTTTGCTTCCTTGCTCTCTCATTGTGGTGAATGCTTTGCTCTGTGTACTACTATTATGGCTCGATCATATCATCGTGTCCCTGGCTACGCCAAACGACGAACCGCGGATATTATTCGTGATCATGGCCCTACCGGTACCGGTACCAGGTACCGGGACAGTACGAATATCAATCCATCCTCTCGATGATCGAGAGCAAAGTTTTCGGTACGGTACTGCATGGGTCACGAGTTCAATCACTTACTAAGGCTAAGGTTCAGGGATACTACAGATAAAACACGTCAGCGATTGAAATCATCTTCTTTCTCACCCCAATCGGCAATCAGATCATGGCAATCAACAGCTGATGAATCATCGTCCGAGTCAGTGTCTTTGTCCATGCAAGCAACCTACACTCATCATCAAATCCAGTCAGAAAAGATACAAGTCCATCGATAGTTTTTGCTGCTGGCGCAAGTTATAAAGTAAAGAAACCTTGATTGGTTTTGCTTCCTGGATAGAAAACCAAAAATTTGACAATGCGTTTTGGGTTCTCTTCTCTTGCCGCCATTCTCTTTCTGAAGGTTGATCATGCCTCTGCATTCTCTCCCCTTTCACGTGGGGCTGGCTTGACCGTCTCGACGACATCCAGCCACCATCATGATCAGACTCGAGTGTCAACCGTCCCTTTTGTAAAGAGCCTCACTCGCTCCTCTAAGGGTCCACTGTTCATGGGTGGAATGGAAGACTTTTTGACTGGCCGTGATGACAAGGCGAGAAAGGCGGAAAATGACGAGTACATTGCAGAGCTTCAGAAACGGGTGGATAAAATCAACAATCTCGAACCAGAAATCGAGGACTTGGAGGATGACGAATTGGTGGCCAAGACTGCTGAATTTCGAGAAAGGTTGAAGAAAGGCGAGGATATTAATGGACCTTTGTTGGAAGAGGCATACGCAGTTGTGCGAGAAGCAGCATGGTAGGTCAAAGAAAAGGAGGATGCGTACAAAATAGTTCTTGAAAGCTTGTATTTGTGTTCAGTGGTCTAACCATTTCATGTTTTAGGCGAGTGTTGGAACTGCGTCACTATGATGTACAAATTATGGGTGGATTGGCACTGCATGATGGAAGGTTGGCAGAAATGGCAACAGGAGAGGGGAAAACACTTGTGGCAACGCTACCTTGTTATGTCAATACATTGGCCGGAAAGACATCTTTTGTGATCACTGTCAATGATTATTTGGCCCGTCGTGACATGGAAAAGATGGGACAGGTTCATCGTTTCCTGGGGCTGACTGTGGGTTTGATTCAGAGTGGAATGACAGAAGAGCAACGCCGAAAGGCCTATGCCTGTGACATTGTTTACGTGACAAACTCGGAACTAGGCTTTGACTTTTTGAGAGATCACCTCGCACTGACACCGGAACAAACAGTTTTGCCCAATGGTGGAGGAGAGTTTGATGGATTTTGCTTGGTCGACGAAGCTGATTCAGTGCTGATTGATGAAGCCAGAACTCCACTGATTATCAGTAAGCAAGTACCAGCTCCTGCAAACAAATACCAGACGGCAAACACCCTTGCTGGTGCTCTCAAACCAGATGTTCACTACACGGTAGACTTGAAGAACAAGAACTGTGTTCTCAACGAAGTTGGATACCGGGACTGTGAACGGGCCCTTGGGATTGATAGTCTCTTCGAGATACAAGCTGATGGAGAAGCTTGGGCTCCATACGTTACCAATGCTGTAAAGGCAAAGGAGCTCTTCAAGAGGGATGTCGAATACACCGTGCTAGAAGATGATGCCGGTGAGAAATGTGGTGTAGGTATCGTTGATGCCTTCACTGGACGTGTGCTTGATGGTCGTAGATGGTCGGACGGTCTTCATCAGAGCATTGAAGCCATGGAGGGTATTGATGTCAGCGAACAAAGCAAAGTCATTGCCAAGGTGACTTATCAGGTAAGGGGATTCGGGGGTACCACTCCCAGTAAGGAAAGATCACATTATTTCCAGATTCTAACTTTATTCCCTTCTATCGCAATGCAACGCCAACAGTCCTTGTTTCGTCAATTCACTCGTCTGGCTGGTATGACTGGAACCGCCATGGCGGACGCTACCGAATTGGAACTGACCTACGGGTTGAGGGTCACACCCATCCCAACAGCATTGCCAATTGCTCGACGCGACTACCCCGACGTTGCGTTCAAAACACGCAAAGCTGCTGACGATTCCCTGGTGAAGGAAATTGAGGCTGTTGGTGGGGGGCAGCCTGACGGTCGACCATGTCTAGTTGGTACAACCTCGGTTGCACAAAGTGAGCTGTTGGTCAAAAAGCTGGCTGAAAAGGGCATCAAAGCGGAACTACTTAACGCATCTCCAAAGAATGCCCCCAGAGAATCCGAGATTGTCGCTCAGGCTGGTCGTGCCGGAGTTGTGACGGTGGCTACCAACATGGCTGGGCGTGGTACGGATATTTTGCTGGGCGGTTGTCCAAACACCATGTCACGAATCAAGACGAGGTCGGTCTTGTTGAAAGATGGCATTTTGTCTTCTGAGGAAGCATCAAAGTTGCCTCCATCACCAGAAGAGGACTACTTCCCAACAGAGGCAACAGAAGACAGTATTTTCATGTTGAAAGAAGCGGCAGCAGCCATTCGGAAGGAGTTCGGGAGTGACTTGACAAGCCTGGTCTTGGAAGAGATCCTCACTGTGGCCTTTGATACAACTGAGGCCGAGGACGACGCTGATTACATTGTGAAGCTTCGAAATGGAGCCGAAAGCATCAAAGAGACATACAGCGAGGCGCTGGAGGAAGAAAAAGAAGCAGTGGAAAAAGCAGGTGGCCTCTACGTAATGGGTACAAACCGTCACGAGAGTTCTCGCATTGACAACCAATTGCGTGGACGTTCGGGTCGTCAGGGAAACCCCGGGACATCCAGATTCTTCCTTTCATTTGAAGATGACATGTTTGTGATCTTTGGAGGTGAGAAACTTGAGAAAATGCTGACTATGTTCCGTGTTAGCGAGGACATGCCTGTGGAAGCGCCACAAATTAGTGAGTCATTGGACAAGGTCCAGAAGGCAGTGGAACAGAAGTACCGAGATATTCGAGGGGAGATCTTCAAGTTTGATGATGTCTTGAACGGCCAGAGGACTGTCATCTACTCCCGCCGAAGAAATATCCTCTCGAAGTCCGCAGCTGAATCACTTGAGATTATGAAGGAATACAACAAGCAGACTGTCCAGGACATCGTCAATGCGCAGACCGAAGACGGTGTCGTCAATGTCGAGAAGGTGCTGGAAAAGATTGGACAGTTTTTCCCCTCGGTGGCCCCGCTTTTGCAGCAAGATGACCTTGATGGTCGCTCACCCGAAGAGGTTTCGACTTTTGTCGGTGTTGCGGTCGAAGAGGTGTTCGCTGCAAAGTGCGACGAGGTGGATAAGAAAGCTGTGGCCGCTGGCAAGGCACCTGGATCTCTGGGCCGTTCGGCTAACTACATTACACTCGTGTCAATGGACAATGCATGGTCTGATCATCTTCAATCCATGGAAAACTTGAAGGAAAGCGTCATTCTGAGAAAGTACCAGGGACGTGATCCTGTGGTGGAATACCAAAACGAAGCCTTCACGTTGTTCAAAGGACTCGAGGACACAATGAGATTCAACACTGTCTTCTCTTTGTGGCAGAGTCTGGCTGCAGCTGGCCAACCAGCCGCTCAGGTAGCATAAAGAAACGTATTACTAGTAGACAAGATGCATGTACTCTAGCCACACCCCCTCTCTTCTCTCTTTCACACCAGCCACCGGTAACACGTACTTTTACGGTACTGTACCGGTACAGGTACCGGTACCGGTACGGGTACCGGTACCCGTTAGTCCCTTCATACCGGTGCTACAGTGTACATGTGGCCAGAGGTGGAGCATGGAATGCATGAGATGGTCACTCCCTCAAGTTGGCGTGGATGGTAATTTGAAAAGAGCAGTGCCGCCAAATTTAAAACATTTCCCGCATTGGCTCTGTCCTGCTGGCGTGCTTCAACGACGGCGCAAACATTGAGCAACACTTCTTTAGCTTCATTGGTCTAACCACACTTTCAGCATCCTGACTTTTAAAAATGAAGACAATCAAAATAATGACGAGAAATCCTTTGACGAAAGCAACAACAAATCCGAAGAAAGACGGGGTAGCCATCAAGAAGCATGACGTTCGACGCAGCAAAAGATTTCGCCGCGAGAGAGAAATGTACCAAACAGAAGTCGTGACCAGAGGTGTGGTAACGATCGAGAGAGACGAGGTCTGTGGAATGGCCCAGCCAGGAGGCACCTACATGTCTGAAAAGGAAAGGCGCGATCGTGAAGAGGACCTCGAGGGACGACATCTATATGACGAGGTCCTTCGCGGAGCTGGATGGGGTTACATCAAAGGAAAGGCAGTCACAGATCCCTCGTGGATCTTTACGGGCCCAAACTACAGCAAAGATAATGCACGCATCAATGAAAACTACTTTACATCTTATCAAGCCATTTTCCAGCAATTCGAAAAGGACGGTGACACCACGGATCTTATTTTGAGAAGAGGGCAGATTGATGAAGAACCACAAGAGCAAACTTCAAAAGCATCCGTTTCAGCCACAAACGCAACGTGCGCTACCGCTATTCCTGATGGAGTTGTTCCTTTTGCCTCTGGCCCAACTGTAGAGGGTGTCCCTGTGAACCAACCAAAGACAGATGATAACACTGACGCAGAATCTATCCCCACTGCAATTAGCCAAGAAGATTCTGCTACCGGTACCACCAACACCGCTGAAGCTTCCAATCCACCAGCTGTTGTTACTCACTTCAATACTGTAGACATTCCCACAAAACAGGAAGCTGCTGGTGATGATGACACTCCCATGAAACAGGAAGATGGGGATGACGCTTCCATTGAGATAGTGGGTGACTCTTCAGATCCCAAACCTTCTGAAGATCTCCGCACTAGGTTGGAGCGCCTTGAGAAAAGTCTGGGCTTCGCTCTATCCTCTCAAGTCATTCACAGACGCATTACCGTGCTGGAGGGTCAATGTGGAGTGACGGCTCAAGGAAAGTCTTTCTTGGGTCGTGTCGCAGAATTGGAGGCAATCATTGGGATCTGAAACATGTTCGTCCAAGTGCAAGCTGCCAACTCGTGCGATTGAAATGATGATGATGGGCCATCGTTAATTTGCCCTTGCATCATGTATTCAAGTTCGACTGTCACTCCCTTACCTAATTCCGGTCCAGTGATAGTTCCGCGGAACAATGTATGTTACTTTTTCATTACTAAAAAAATCATGTTAAAATTAGGATTGAATCATTCCCACCATTCAAAGCCAATTTCATCCAGCATGGCCTTCCTCTCTTGTCTGGTTCAAGTGCACCCTTTGCGTAGAGTCTCTTTTGATGGCATATCCGTTTAGGAAGGAGATTTGCCAGGAACAATCTTATTGGCATAGCAATGCTTGAGTTCTTCATACATGTAGCCTTCCAGCCAAGACTTTTTTCATAAATCTCATCAAAGTCCCATGTGAATGCAACCTTGTCAAGTTTTTCTTTTCGGTCCGGTCTGGTTGCAAGGCGCCATTTTTGTTTCGATTCCGTTGATTGTGCACCCAATGGCCCAGGTCTTCATTTTCTGAGTATGAACTTGGTACATGAGTCTGGCCGTTCTGTTGCTTGAACTGAGAAAGTTTATCAAGCAAATTGGAAATTCCACAAGGTTTCCTGTTCAGCTGTCTTCACCTCAACAAACCTTTTTAGCCTCCAATTAAAAACCCAATGGACTCTAGCATTTCTTGTCTATCTCTCCTGAGATTGCCGGTAGTGCACTGGCGGCGTTGTGTTTTGACCCATGCACCCAGACGCCCATGCACTTCTTTGCAAGGTACCCTGCAGTGTCTATGACTTCCCTTGTACTCTCCTCCTCCAACCTTGCCATCCACTGTTGGTCAAACTTGTCCAAATGAGCATGAGTCCATAGGAATCCAATACTAAGTACTATAGTATCTAGCTGAGCAATCTGTTCCTGTGGCAATCGTCCTTTAGCCTGCCTCAAATTTTTCATCCATGAAGCTAGCTAGATTCGATTCGGTTTTCTTTCGAATTTTGGGGGGCGTTGTTCGCGCCATTTCCACGCTCTCCGCGAGTTCAATCGCATGTGACGTGTCGCTGGCTGAAAGTTAGCATTAGGGCTAGCGTTTTGGATCCTGATATTCACCCCTCCAGATTACGAGGCAACAACCTCCACGGCAAACGGCAAGTTGAAGTCCTCAATGGCAATGTGAATACCCACAGCGACAATTAGTTGAGAGAGCGACCAAAGATCCCCTCGGTTGGTTGCGATACTAGCTAGTACCGTAGCTGATAATTAGATAGAAGCGCTGGTACCGATAAGAGAGGCTCTCGCTGTTCACGTGTTTGGTCTGAAAAGATAAAGGAAATCGTTTGGCGTTCACATCGCCTATGAAGGAAGATCTGGATCAATCATTTATTCTATATTGATTGTTCGCCATGACAGCTGAAGCTACGGAGAAATCGAGTGGCCAGACTGAGAAGAGATCCGCGGCAAGATGTCATGGATCCACGACGAGCGAAGAGAAGGAAGCGATGATTTACCGTGGCAATCTGCTCAAGATCTCCCATTTTCTCACCAACTTTCGAAGCTACTTTGCGTGGAACGACGACGACAAACCGCAAGATATAAGCCAAGCTGAGGAAGACATGAGTTTTGTGATTACTCCTCGTGACGTTGAAAGTGCCTTGGAGTTTCGATACTTGATTCTCTGGAAGCAACAGCTCAAGGATCACTACTGCTGCGAGGAAGATCCAGATGCCAATAATGAGACAGACGATCAGGAAGGGAGGATGGACTCAAGCAATACAGGTGCCGGTAGCATGAAAATGAACAAAGCAAGACAAAAGCGACTGGAAGAACTGTCTGCAGATATTGAGCTCCGTCTGGCGGAACGATCGGAAAAGCAAACCCAACGAGACATTCAAGTGGCTCAAATGCTAGAACGCTTTCAAGTCTGGTCGACCAAGGACCTGACACATACACTGCTGATGCCTCCAACGTGCGATTGCGAAAACCTGAAAGAAGCATCCACAGCCTGTTGGTCCAAACTACTGCATATTCCTTCGGCAGTGTACTTTGATGGTCGATGCCATCAACCCAACGTGGGGGACAGGGTGGAAGCAACAAACGCAACACGTGAACCTTGTCTGGTGCCAGAAAAGGCAGATCATCAACAACAACAAAAACAACAATCCACGGAACTGGCATTGCCAAAGACCAGGTTCTCCAGTCTGTACCAAAGGACTCATGTCAAAAACGCAAAGCATCCAATGTGCAGTCTGGTACTGCCTCCCAACAATCACACATGGGAAGAGTTTGCAAGGATTGCTCAAACGGTGTCATTTCTACCAGAAAAGGACCGTAGGGCTGCAGAAGATAGTCCTTGCAGTGGCACTCTACGGACTATGGAACGGTACAGCCAGCGAAAAAGGCATAAAGCAACATTAGCGGGGTTGAAGAGCGCACCCAAAAAGATCAACATTTACGCAGAAGACTTTGTCTTTCGACCACATGATTTAGTCGCTCTATGGGTACGAGCGCAACGAAACTCGGTGGCAATGCGACACTTGATTCAACTTTTCACGAGGCCGACGCAACAAGAACTCGATCAAATATTGATGAAAACGAACAAGGACGATGGCCGTGATGAGAAAGACGACAACAATAGTCATCGCGTGGTGTTTCGGGGAAATCACAAAAGCACAAAGAACCGGGTCTTGGTCGAAAGCAAACAAGTCATGTCCCTCGTGGAATGGGCCGTCCTCAATCAGGTCCTCTTTCATTGCGAGTTTATGCAAGGCTTGATAGCAAAGGAACTGCCAAAAAAGAGAGCCAGACCCGATGATCGGGACTCCAGACCATCCAAGAAGAGCCGATTTGAAATAATGACAAAGGATGACCCTGATGCAGTCAACATCTCCGCGAAACTACTGAGAGCGTGTCATTTACATCTCCTTCGATGGTTTGGCAGACGCAACCAACCCATGGTGGCCACGTTGTTCTTCTCGAAACTTTTACTTTACCCCTCGCCGGCTGCTCCTTCGTTCCATGATAAAAACTTGGGACTACTGGAGCAATGTCAGCAAGCTGGCGTCACAGATGCAATAGCTCTACGATTGAAATCGCTACCAGAAAATGGCGTCAATCCGTCTGATAGGTCACTAGCTCGCATTGATCGACGAATACAAAGCGGGAAGTTTGACGCAGAGCAGAGTGCCTTGGACGACCCCAACAACACATCTCGGTTCTACCGGGCCATGAGTCGCCTCTTGCAGGCTTGGAAAGATGTGCTCGCCGAGAACGCTTCCATTGATGTCGACCCGGACATGTTGAGGGCTTCTGTCGACGACTTTGAAGTCCTGTACGCAGAGTTTCATCGTGTTTTGATCGAAGATGGCATTGTTGCTGCCGCAAGGAGCCTGGTTGACTTGACAACACCTTCGGCAATCGAGAAATGCCGAGATGGAGCAGTAGAACAAATTTACTTGGAGAATCTCTTGACGTATACACCCTCCCCGTGGAATGAATGTTGTCTGTGTCAAAAACCGTCGCGGAAGCACCAAAATGAAGCGTTGGAGATATGCTCATGCTGCGAAACAGCGTATGCAGAGGAATGCTACCAAGTATCGATGATATTCGCTCAGGTTGATCTGAAGCAGAAGATACGTCCTTACTTGAGTTCAGCACTGTTGTCCGTGGTCCTGCCCGAATCAGAAATCACACCTGATTTCCGCGGGGGAAACGCCTCGAAGATTCAATGGGAACACATCACTCTTACACTGAAGAGAAGTATCGATGAGAATGGCAAGATGGAAAGCGCTGGGCTCAAGCTGCGACAGTGCATCGCTTCACGAGATGCACTCGACTATGTCTTATCCGGTCGCCTGGATCTTGTGAATCTGTATGGAGAGGGGTTCGACGAGGAGTACCCAATTGGCTTCAGCCAGGGCGTCGAAGGGTGTTTTGTGACACACGTCAGAGATGACAGCTCTGGCCAACGAGCCAGTCTCAGGCCTAATGATGTTATTGCGGGCCTTGAATTTGTCTCCTTTGCAAAAGGCGAAACGCCCCCATCGAAGCTGGCCCACAACTTTGCTAATCTAAGCAAAGAGACCCGCTTATGCCTTTTGTCGCAAGTCAAATCCACCGAACTCAAGCTCTTTGTCAAGCGCCCTAGCGTTGATGTCATCGAACAGGTCACTCAATGGATTGCTCTCCTGCGAGAACGCAATCAGTTCATGTGGGAAGCCTTGGCCAAGGAATCTTCAGTTTCCTTTTGTTGCAAGTGCCAAAAAAGCAAGCGAGACTCCTCTTCTGATACCGACGAAAGCCAGCAAGAAAGGATAAAAAGGGAGGCCATAAATTGCAGAGCCGTTCTCCGTCGGCTTGGTATGGAGTCATACAGCTTCGCCTTTTTCGACGAGCCGTCGTCTTCCACCGAATTCGTGAGCCTACGGAGATTGGACGCCATGATGAGCTGGATCATACATTCCCACTCTCAACAAGCCGCCGAGAGTTCTCCCGCGAAGGATCGCTTGCAAGCTTCGTTTTTCCAACCTAGACGGGTCGCTGCGAGCAAAGATCGCCTAGAATGGGCTCCACCAGAATTGGAAGCAAAGCCAAACCTTCTCCTAGCAAAGGGTTTCGGATTGCTGCTTCGCCGTAGCCGTAGTGCACCCAGTCACAACGAACATCATGCTGAAGAAGCGAATTCACTCATCAGTCACTTCATTCGCCTCTTTTGTGCGTGGTGCGTTCCAATACGCGAGCTTCCGAAGAGAGCGCCACCATCATGGGCTCTGAACGCCAGAGTGCCATGGGTGAAGCCAAGCTGTACGGTTTGTTTCTCGCGGGCCAGTACTTGTGAGCGGAGCAATTTGCCTGTTTGCGAGGACCAATTTTGCTGCCGTGATGCAATTGAGTCCGGCTGGCTGGAGGACAGTGCTAGCTCCTATGCGCAAAACGCTGCGCTTATTGGCACAACAGTGCTTGTCTTCCCAGGTGACCCCATTCTTGCTTTTGTCGCTCAAGAGGCCATGCTGGTGATAAATTCGTTCGGGCGACCTATTGAATTCCTCGTGACCTTCTACTCGCCTCCATTGCAATGTGGTGAAGAAGGTCAGTTTTTTCTCCACCCGGTAATATCGCAAATCCAGCTTCAATACTTGCTGGATCGGACTCATCTGTTGAAGAAGCCTCGATTACCTTTTGGCTCTGTTGACGATTGGATCAAAGGATCCATCCTGGACGAGAAAGGGGTTTTGAGGATCACCCGTGAAAAGTTGGACGGTTTGCGAATGGAAACGAGCGCATACTTTGCCTCCGTTGGTACTCAAATCGAGGAATTTGCTCAATCGGGCACTCTGAAGGAGGAAAGGACGCTCGACTGGAAAGAGCATCAGAATTGGCTCTCCTGCTCTCGCAAGGATAGCGTTTGTGGACAGGACCTCCTCCAGCAGATCAAAGTGTCCGATTTCTTGGCTGTATCCACAGACCAGTGTTGCAATCTTGTCGAGCGTCTAATCGCATCAGCCACTCCTGTTGTGCGATTAATGCTTGCTTCCAACGACCATCAGAGGGACTCCATCAGAACCATATTGGAGGGCAGTGACCTTGGGACGGTGTGCAATGATTTATGTGCTGCGCCTGGAGGTGACCAAGAAAGCGAGGACGACGGCGACCAGAAGTTAAAAAACCTCAAGTTTTGCCTCCCGGGCTTAGACTGTGACGTGGTTTACACTGATTTTCACTACAGCTCGGATCAGGAAGAACTTCATCTAAAGGAGGCACTCATTAGTCTCGATCCCCTCTCAATGCCCGCACAATCGGAGACCATGGACCCCGCTGAGGCCATAACAATCGTGCTGTCTCGAGATGCAGAATCGCCGAAAGAGTCTCTCGGAAGCACTGGACCGGAATATAGAGGTGTTGGATGGGGTGTGGAGCTTCTTCGTTGGCACGGGGAGAACATGTTGAGAGTTGGACGAGTTCATCCTCGATCTCCGGCTTCGGAGGCGGGGTTGCAATCACATGACGTGATTTTGTCATTGAATGAACGAGCTGTCGGCCGGGGGAATTCCTGGACACATCCTTTGCTCGTTTGTTCGTTTCTGGGGATGCGAATATCTCCCATGGGAAAGGCAAAAGATCATTTTGGCGTCATCGCATCCGCCTTGAACGCTACAAAGGGTCCAGTTCAAGGGCCAGTGATGCTCAAGGTAAACCGAACGAAGCAACCGCAACAATCATCTTCTACCCGCCACACGACCTCCGTTGTAGATCTCACTACTGATGAAACTGCGCTTGGTTCGTCGCGACCTGCCCAAATGCCTGCTGGCACAGCTGACATGAATGGCACCAACGCTGCTTCCGTTAGCCAAACCGTCCCGGTTCAACGTGTTGCTGCAATGGATCCATCAACAATTAACGCCGCAGGAACTGCTCGTCACCAATCACCTGATTCAGCTATGAATCGAACGGCGGGGGCTGGAGTGGCGCAACCAGGCGAACAGGCTGTACAACTATTCTCTGGTGGACGGACCCCTGCTGAGCAGGCCCAGGCACTTTCACATGCCCGAAATGCCTTGCCACAGTTGAAACATGCAGTATTCGCGACCTTGGATTACCGCCCGCCCTTGAGGCCACGGCATTTGCACCAAGCACAGGATGGCCTGGGAAGCCGACTTGTGCTGACAAAAGTTGAAACGTCCGTTCTCTTGGAAGCAATTCACCAGGGCATGTTTGAATTGGGTCTGCGGATGCTCTGTCCGAGGTACACACTGGTGAGTGCACCAATTCGGTTGTCAAGCCCGTCACAAGGGCACAATGATGGCAGCATGCCGCTCACCTCTCGCCATTTCCTGCGTCTCCCAGCAAATACTTGCCTTGCAGCTGCTTGAACTTATCAAGCACAAGAATAACCTTGGCGTGGCTCCCCGAATAGCAGACACTATTTTTCGGGCTTTGCTTGGGAAGGATTATGAACGATACAAAAAGGAACCGGCAGGGATACCTCCAGTAAGTTTCCTGATTTCCCATTTCTGTTTGTGCACTCTGTGATGATGGACAGTTGCTCATACATGTACTGGCATGAAATGTGCATTGGCGATGCAGGTATTCCTCGATTCCACGTAAGTAATACCAGAACAGCAGGATTGAACTCGCCGATGATGTACTTTTTGTGTAGACCTGCCCTGACCATACCATACTGTTGTGTTGTATTCTGCTTGCAGGGGATCGTACGCCCTTCCCACCGATATCCTTCCCCTTGACCGTCTAGCAGAAGACGAGTTCAAGAAGCAGCATGCACGGCAGGTAAATGCACAGAGGCAGCAGCAGCAGGTTGCACCACCACAACAGCCTCCCCAACCGGTGATGTTGGTACAGCCACAGCATCCGCAACAGCGCCCTACCAATCCTCAGCAATATGCACATGGTCTGAGCTACAACCGAACCGCACGCAGACAACAAGAATACTATGGTGGACAACCTGGGTGGCATGGTAGTGGCCAAATGCACCAACACCGCAATTTCGGTAAGTATTTTTGAAGCAAACTTGCGTTTCTTTGCCAATACCTTGTGATGCCCACAACTATGTGCCTTGCCGTTAGCAGATAACTATGATGGCAATGCACACGATCCAACGGAGAGAATTCGAGGAGGCTCCCCGCCGTCCCCTACCGGTTCAAACGCAGGGAGCATATGCAATGAAAACGAAGGCTTGTTGACTGTTCCAGTGGAGAAATGGCATGGCCAGCTTGTGAGTCCTTGCTTTTGGGAAAAAGTGGCAAAAATTGTGCCTCGTCACTGTTGTTGTGCTTTCCAAATTGGAATTGTATGGCTCATTGTTCATTTTCATTCCGCGCCTTCAGGTAACATTCATTGACGAATCAGAGCGCGATGGAAAAACTAGCGAGGAAAAGTTCTTTGCCTATGTGAATATCACTGCAGACCTGAATATCAACAAAAGCACCAATTTGGATGATATTGAAGTGATTCCGGGTAAGTAAAATCTTGTGCTGAGTTCCCGCGTCTTTCATGTCCATCCTGATGGTTTTGCAGTGGTTATATTCTTTTCCTCTAGTTTGGGAGTGTATAGCGAAGTCAAAACCATCATGTACGATCCGGCTGATCTTTCCCCGATTGAAGAGGGAAGCCAAGACGCTGTGACCGCCGCCAATGCCATGCGGGACGGTAAAATCAAGGTCCCAGGTCTTGGCGATTCCAATCAAACGGTGCAAAAAGAAGCCGGGGCTACCGGTACTCTTTTATCGTCTGAAAGCAACCAACCAATGCATCTCATTCGCGACGAGGATCCTAACCAAAAATCTCCCAGAATCGATGTGAGAGATTTGGCGATGGCTGATGCTGGAGCATCCACGAGTACGTCAAAACTACTAGTACAGCCATCGCCCCCAAGTAGAGCTACGCAGGCAGGGGCGGGTTGTTTGGTGTCCCCAAATGTGAATGTAAATGTGGACGAGATTGCTGCATTGTACGCAGGCAAAAGCTCTGGCCGGAAAGACGTGTTGGGTCATTTTCCAGACGGGAGATCGATGCTTTGGCTACCGGTAAGCACATGATGCTCATTGCAATTCGGAGTTTCGCATGCCACTCCCTCCATTGCCCTCATACCGTACTTCTTCGTAACGTCAGAACGATCCTTGTGCGCTCTACGTTGAAGAGCTCGCTCGCAACCAAGTTCATGTATGCGAGGACGTCTTCAGAAAGCTTGTTTTGGATCAAAACAACGAGAGGGAATCGAATGCAAGGCTTACGCTTGGCAACCATGCCCATTCTTGCCTGTGGGGTTGCACATATTATGAACAACAGAGCCCACAAAGTCAGCTGCAACTGGTATCGTTTCCATCTGAGGTGGAGTTGCGGAAACACTACGTCGACACGCATTCTTTTGGAAATGGAAACAAGCAAGCCTGTCAGTTTGAGAGCTCTGCCAAGTTTTTTCGAGTGTCAAATACCCGAACTGTTCAGAAACTCATTGCGCAACTCACGGCGGCAGCATGCCTCTGCTCAGCCAAGCTGAGCGACTTGGCGAAAACCGGTGAAGCCGCTGCTTCTGTTGTCGGTCCGCATGGTTCCACAATTGTTTGTGGACCATCTAGATTTCGATTGTCTCTCAGTGTCGACGATATAGTCTCTACGATAAGGTCCGGACCACGAGCAGTCAATCGGTCCCAATCCTTCCAAGCCAATCCTTTGCACCAGATTCTTCCACTGCTAGCCAAGACAGTGTTTCTGTTTGACTTGAAGAGCGACACGTCCCTACGATTGTCAAGTGGAGCTCTGAAAGGCCTTCAGAATGTTGAAGCGAAGAAAGAGTTAGGAGGGCTATCGTTACCGCCATACAGGAGTCACTGCAGCATTTTTCCGCAATCTCCAGCTAGATCGAGCGGTAAATGCACCGGTTGCTCTCTGTGCGTCCTTGATGCTGAAAGAACACTCGAGCACCACACCGCCAACAAGAGATACAACTGCGGGTTTGGAGAGACCGACTTATCGATGCCTGTTCCTTGTAGCAGAGGATATCTTGGTTTCGCGAAGCTGCTCCTCCTCAGGATTGCAAGGGACATACCTACGCAATTGCAACCTTCTCTTTTCAACGGAAAAAAGGACGAACTTGGCAATCTCCGAAAGCAAGTGTGGAAACCGACGGTTGGGAGAAGCTTCCGCCGTTTCATCCGCCAAAGCACGTCAATTCAAGCCGTGACCCAAGCTTTTGTTGTGCTACTCGCAAGTGTCGAGCTGCGAGAATTGCCGCTCTGGTGGAAAGCAGAGCAATTTGGATGGTCTGAAGGGACCCAGCAGCTACTTCTCGCACCTTCGAAGTCAGCTCTGATTCTTAACATGAATCTGTTTGATCTAGCCCTTTCAGAGTATATGGGAAGAGTCCAAGGGGAAAGGCCCTACAGAACTCTCGTTGACGGGTCGCACAACTTGGTCCCCGAAAGCTTCCGAGGCATGCCCGCTGAAGCGCGCATTAAAGCTGTCCTGGAGGCAGCTGCCAAACATGATCTGCCAAGGTTTCATGGCGTCCATGCTTCCGCATGTTGCATCTGTGAAGAGGAGGGTCGTCTATTTCGGTGCGAGTTCTGCGATTGTGTAGTGCACAAGGAATGTTGTTCTCCCGAACTGCAAGATCCTGAGCAATGGGTGTGCAACGCTTGTGCTGTCGATGTCATGGAATTGACAAGTGACTAGCTGCCAGGTTGGAGCTGGGTGAAATTTGTGAGGAGACCGTGTGAAGTACAAGGGATTTTAAAAGGTGCACAACACGACGGGGGAGAATCAAGGGTGATTTGGAAGCAAAGCATTGGTCAGACTTCGCTTTCTGTTTGTATACAAGTAATCGCTCAGCATCATTTTGCCTGACTGTTTACATAGGCTCTGACTCCGCAGCCAATGCTTGTCCTTCGTTGTGCCGAATCTATCTAACTATAGCTAGCAGGCAGGTTGCACATTCTCGCTTCCCTTTGACCAATTTCGCATGCTGCAAGCGAGGATCCGAAAGAGCACTTGCATACGAGTATCTTGTTTTCCCGCATTGTATATCCTGGAAGATGGTTTCCCAAAGGCAATGTGCTACCTGTAGCTTGTGACAAGTGCGAGGGTAGGGATAGATTTTGGGGGGAGACCCATCCATCAGGGCAGGTCAGGTCAATGATCAGTTCAGTAGCAAAAATTTGAATCGTCTCTATTCACTGTTTATCAGGATCCAGGCTTCACTTCTTCTGATTGCTGCTCTTGCTCTGCTGCAGATTGCTTCTCCTTGATTCTATTCATAAGACTGTCCGCGTTTTCACTTCCCTCCTCGACGAATTTCACTAGCTGATTCGTCTCAATCCATTCAATGAGCTCTTGAACCGTGAACACTCCATCCTGGTTCGTGTCCTGTTGTCGCAAGGCGCGTGTTAGTGCGATTGGCAGGCATCTTGCGAGTTGATTCGATTCAAGTGAACATCCACAAGCAAACATGTCTTACCATTTGCTCCGCGAGCTCCATAGCCTCCTCAAGCGTAATGTTTCTCTTCAATACAAGTTGAAGGGCTTCAGCAAGTTCCTCCACTGTCAAGATTCCATCCATGTCTCGATCAAGAACGTGGAGTTTATCACCAATCTTCAACTCCACATCGGAAAGCTGAACCTCTATCTTGTCCACCATCGATTCGATTCTCTTCTTTAACCTGGCGACAACTGGGTCCTCTGGGACGACCATTTCGTGTTCAGTTTGTGTTTCTTCATCGCTTTCGGTTTTGGCCACCGTGGCTGAGGCCGGTTCGTCCATGACGCTGCTATCAGTATGCTGCAAATCATCAAGAGGTGCAGATGCAGCGACTAAAACTTCCTCCTCCCCTCCCTCAATAAGTGTTTCGTCGTCGGTCTTTTTTTGTAGTTCGTCCTGGAGTGCTGCCTTGATGGATTCTAAATCAGCTCTTTCTTTGCTGACTGGATCAGCCGAAACAAGCTGCGATATGGCATCCATTTCGGCCGTGGAAAGGTCATCTTCTGCCCTTGATTCCTTCTCGGCCTTTTCGGCGGTCGGTATCTCAGTTTCAGCAACCACACTACTTTGGCTGTCAGAGCTAATATCTGTCGTCGCGTCCACTGTATGCATAGTTTCAGGAACTTGAATCGTGCTATCGGTGAATGTAACTTCATCTGAAGTCGTTTCTTTTTCGGCCTCTTTCTTCTCCTTGTCAGCCTGTTCTTTCTTCTTCGCAGCAGCTTCTTCTCTCTCAGCTTGTTCCTGAGTATTGTCGTTTGCAATGCTGCGCCTTAGGGCATTGTTTTGTCCACGAATGAAACGTTTCACATTAACAACTTACCTCGGCAATCAACTCGTTTTGTTTCATGAGCACTTCGAGCTTGATCTTTCGCACTCCAGGGTCAGACATTTTTTCTTGAGAAGTGGCCACATCCAAGATCACCTCATTCACAACTTCCTTATCCAAGCCCGAAATGGCGTCGGCTAGACCAGCAATGCTCTTGGTCCCGTCATCAGTTTCGCGTTCGAACATTTCCTCTCTGAGAAAGAAGGTACGACTCATGATGAGCAGAGAGGTAGGAACATTCTGCTTGACACTGAGATCAAGCCATTGCTGTAGAGAGCGTTTGTATGCGTCTTTGCTGAGGCCCGTCGAGCGCATCCCACGTTCCTGGCATGCTTCCCGAAGTTCCATCTTTGTCAAAGAATCGATCCCTTCCCACAAAATACGTTGGTCATCCTCTTGCAAACTTCTCATTCGATGACGTAATTGAAATCGCAAGACGTAATCCCCGCCATAGGGTGCAATGCCCATGTACTTGCCTACAGCATGTCAGGGTTGTTGTTGATTGTGTTGATGATGGGACAAAAACGGCGTTGTCAGCACAGTTGAATGCTTGTCCATTTGCCGCGATGACAGCAGGCGTTTTCAGCAGTACTTACACATATTGATCAACTGCATTCTCGGCATGTTATCAAGGGTCAGATCATCTTTGAAGTAGTGGGCGTAGCGCACAATGACATCATTGGGAATCATCTCCCCGTTTCGAGCTTTTTCTAGAAATCCAAGAAAAGAGCCAGCACTCGCCTCTTGTGCTGCCACTACAGACTCATCCAAACCTTCCTCTCCAGACTCTTCAATCTCTTGTTTCAAATGAGATGCTGATTGCTTCTGTTCTTTGGCCAATTCCTCCAAAGTTCTGCGCAGCAAGATAGTGTAAGACAACACAAATCCACCAATGCAAGTACATGTATGTAGGTGCTCAGGCGGGCGACAACTTACTCTTGAAAGAACTTGGCCATGGCAATTCGTGTTTGCAGCTCTCGTTTCATGCTCTCTTCTGCCTTGAGAGAATCCTGAAAGGTACTGGGCAGCAAGTTGGGAAAGATTCGAAGCGCAAACGGCAGTGCAAACTCCATGAGTGGAATGATCAAGAACATGGAAAATGGCACCAACCGAAAGAGATCGGAAATGGTTCTGAGCAGCTGCTTTCGTTCTCGTCGAGTGAGCGAGGATCCTCGCAGCGTTCTCCTTAGTAGATTGCGAGCCGTTTTGAGATCTGCCCACAGAAGCTATGTGTACAACATGAAGCAAGATTGGAGCATGAGCAAAGCGAAATAAAGTTGGATGGTTTGCACACCCTGCCACTACTCGTACTGCCATTCTACCATTATTTCTTACCTTGGTTCCCACCCAGTAATGATCCACCTCATCCATGACGACTTTTTTCATATTGTTCCACCATTCCTTGACTTCTGAGGGACGCAGAGCATAGTAAATCATGTTTCTTGGCAGATTGATGATAAAGCTGAGGACAGCTTTCATGGCATTCTGCAGTGCGGGCATAATGACAGTTTTGCTTTTCTTGTTGATTTCCTCCATGACATCCTCTGGTTTCATGGATTGCTGGCTGGGTCCTGAGGGAGGCGTTGGGATTTTGTGTGTTCGAATTCCACTCTTGAGAATTTTGGGATCCCGGGGTCTCGAGCCGTCGCTGTTGGTAGAGACAAAGGCCACCAGCTGACGTGACGACTGATGATGATGATATGTCTGGTGGCTCGAAGCCCATGTCATGAGCGATCTCATGGCCAGATCCGTGGCAGCTCGATCGGCCGCCACCAACTGACTAAGATGCATCGTCGCTCGAATGCTACTGGGTGGTTGTCGATAGCGAGCCAATGATGTTGAGATGCTTCGACTACTAATACTGTTCCAAGATTGCTTGGTCCTATGTGGCTGTTGGCGGTCATCAGCCGTGAAAGGAATTAGACCAGTTCGAGCTGTCTGCGAGAACTGATGAGCATTGGTTGCGTTCTCCAAGGAAACCCAGCTCGAGGTACCAAATTCAGAACTTGAGCGCTCTCTTCTATTTTGACAGCGATCCTTCTCGTCATTGTCCTGTGGATTTTGGAGACATGTCGCCAGAGACCGAACATGGATTTTCCCAATGGGAGCACGGGAATCCCGTTGCCATGAGAAGGGCCTTTTAAGGGTAGCCGAAGCAATCCGGGATCTACTCGGCTGATTTGCATACTGACGACGAATACATGCCTTGGAAGCAACAGGGATGGTTCGTCGCAGCAAGGATGACATGGTCGATCTTTCCAAATGTTCTTTTTATTTTGTCCTTTCTCACAAGTAAATAATGTTGGATGTTGGATGGAGTCTAAAATAGATGGAAAATGCGCTCAACTCCGTTTTTTGACCACACGATTCGTCACCTCCGGCGGATCTTTGGATTGCCTCTAGAATGCAGATCAAAAGCTGCTTTTACATCCGTGTAGCCTGGATCTTTGGAGGCGTATCTTTTTCTTTCCGCTTCAGAGTTAGTTGAGCAACATTTATTAGAGCTACTATACTAGTACGGTACTACGGAACTTCGCAACTATTTCAAGCCGATCTATGGCATGGGCAATCTGTGTGCTGATAAGATTGGACGACGGAACTGTATCCTATTGTGCTACAGTAGGGTCATTGGCCAAATATCTACTCAAATTCAACTTTGGGCCATTCTGTGCCGCCAACCTCATCAATGGCTTGTTTGCAGGAAGTGTTCCCATTAGAATGGTAAATGCCGGGGATGTGTAGCCTCACAGACCAAACAAAAGGATCAAGAAAGTGGAATCATTGTGGCTTTCAATCTGCTTGGAAACACTGGCGGTTATTTCAGGGCTGCAATACCATGGTTGCCAATCTTGTCACAGGTTCAGCACCATTTTGTATGATACGGTATCATGTCGGATTCCATTGGGATTGAGGCTACCATGTGCACCTCGGTGGGCCTCAGTTGCTGGCAGGAGTAGTCAACTTTCCTTTGACACTCTAAAAGCGCCACAAGAAATCGACGACAACGTAATACATGGCTGAAGGCGTACTTTTCTCGACAACACACAGCTTCGTTGAGCTTCTTTAGAAAGTGAGGAGGAAAAGCAAGAAATCCTTGCAAAGGCAGTGTGTGGGGAATGTGCACAACAGACTTTGCTACGAAAGACCAACATGGAACGAATGATGATGCTTCGAGACGAGGGACATTTGGTTGCGGCGCAATACGGGACCCGATACGAAAGGGATCTGCTGGACGGTCGACGGTAGGGTACACGTAGGTCCTGGTGTCAATGATGCAACAGGAGACACGACTACAGTCAATTGTCATGCTAGCTAGTAGACTAGTACCGCAGCTATGATGTTGCCATGAAAGTAACACTATACTCTTATTCCTAAAGAGGAATGCTCTATTTTCCGCTCTAGCTAGTGGAACCTCCTTCCCAATTTCTGATTAAATCATTCCAAACTGTTCCACTTCAGTTGGGTATTCCGCCTCAACGTTGTCTCTGGAATCTTTAGATAGGATTGGAAAATCGTTGCAATTTTTAACCATGATCTGACCGTGCCTGGGGGATCCTGGAGATTTCTTGTTGCTGTTGTTGCTGCGAACACTCTCGAGCAACCTTTTACCTTTCGACACAGCACTCATTGTTGGCACAGTACTATATCTATCTTTGCCATACAACTTGTCCACAGAGGGATTGGAACTCAGCCCACTCATTACTGTCTGCCGGACATCGATCTCTGTTTGGACGTCAGATCTGAAATCAGATCTTGGACTCCCACCGGCGCTGTCCAAGGTTTCTGGGTGCGTTGCAGTCGTGCGCGATGTTGTAGTGGCTGCTCGCGAATAGATTTGCGATGGCATGTCGCTGAACTCGGATATGATTGCCGAGTCTTCGCTGGGTACGGTAGCAATTGAATGCCTCCTCCTCAGACTGTTATCGTTGTTGGCCTTCCCACCAGGGGTAGTCGCCACGGTTTCTTCTGAGAAGAAGTGGCTTTTTGGTGTTTTGCGAGGTGCCGACGACGATTGTGACTTCTTTGTCTTTGCAGGGGCCGATGACGGATCCTTTCTCACTTTACTTTTGGTGCTAACAGGAATTGGGTCGCCATTCTCTCCACCGTCAGATTCGTCTTCGTCGTCAAATTTCCGTTGACTTTTACCAGACCGATCTGAGTTCTTCGTGGAGCGCTTCCCTCCACCAGACTTTCGAAAGACTGAAGGGCTTGTGATTGCCGAAACCTCAGTCCGCTCATCGCTCCTTGTCAGTGTCACATCAGGAGGCGGCTTGCTACGGGGAATTCGACGACTTGTTTTAGTCACTTCCTCTTTCCGGGTCGCCGCTTCCTTTTCCCGGTTGGAGGAGGCTCGATCATTTTCCCTTTCTCGGCGAGACGAGGAACGGTCATGGCCCTGTTCGCGGCGTGTTGAACGATCGCGATCATGGTCGTGTTCTCGGCGTGTTCGCGAGGAACTTCGTTCGTTTTCCCTTTCTCGTGTTCGCGAGGAACTGCGTTCGTTTTCCCTTTCTCGTCGGGAGGTGGAACGGTTGTTTTCCATTGCAGGGCGAGAACGATCATTTTCTCGGCGAGTGGAGCGATCGTTTTCATGTCTCATTACCAATGCATTGCTGGGGGAACTGGGACGGTGCTTGACAGTAATGGGAGAATGCATGTGAGACTTGAATCCATTCGTCGGCGCTTCCTCTCTCGGCGGTGGAACATGGACAGGGTTTTGATGAGAATGATGAGGGCGTGGGGCACTTTTGCTTCTGGTGCTCGTAGGTGCAGCATGGGTTGCTTGCTTCGGAGTCGGACCAGTTCCAGTTGGGGTGGCTGTTTGGGCGAAAATGTCATCAGAGTCTACGGTGTTCAGCCAAACTCGTTCAAGCAGCTTGTCCTCGGCTGCGCTTTTTTTGATTTCTTGCTTCTTTCGATGCTGCTCCTTGCTTCGGTTGGTCAGTTTCGCTTGGATCTCCCGCTCTTCCAGTTCGTGGAGTTGTTGCTGGCGAACGATTTCTTTGTCAACCTCAGCCTTGACCATCATAAAGAAGCGTTCGATTACGAGCGCTGCGTGTTTCTCTTTGCTGCATTCCATCACTACGCGCCACCAAAACTGAATGCGTTGGACGGCGAGTTTCACTCTCAAACCCTCGACCTTCGCGCCCAACGATGCCTGCTTCAATCTTAGCCGGAAAACCTTCTTGTTGGCGAGGAAACGTCGCACGGACGATTGTATCATAATGCAACAACCCAACTTCAAACTGAACAGTATACGTGACGCCCTGCCTCGAATGATGGCCTGTAAACGGATAATCTCATATTGCATAATGATAAAATGAGAATAACCCCAAAACCCACGCCACGCAGTTTGTATTTGCGTTGCCGCGGCATCGAGTTTCTGTTGGTGCTCCATCCTTAAGGAATAGTCTAGTCGGATTCGAGGGATGATCTTCCTGTTTGCCAAGAATCTTCTGGCAATGCTCTACAAGAGGGGATGATGTTAGAGAGAACCAGAGCCGATAGCCAACCCCGCCCGCGCGTAATAGACAGATGAACTTACTTGGACGATGATGATGTGAACCAAATCGTACAGCATCCCAATGAGAGCAGTCTGGCGTCTCCACTGGGCCTGAATCTTGATTGCTGCGCGGGTTCGACGCAACGATTCTACTCGTCTTTTGGCAAGCCACTTCCTCATCGTTCGTTGAAGAACCAATATGTCGACCAGTGCAAATATATAATCGGTGTAACCCTGGAAGCCTCTCCAAGTGGCTTGGATCTTGCAAGCAGCACTGTTCATTTTGACGGATCGCATTTCATCGGTTACTTTTCGTGCCAGATACCGACGAGCAACACTCTGAGTCGTTACAATGTCCTCGATTGTCAAATGGTACTGTACCTTCGCAAGATGCATTCGATAGACTGTTTGAACGGAGCAAATTGCCAATCTTCGTTCTGTCGCTTCAGCCCTTGCCAAGCATCCACGATGCCAAGATTGCAAACGGAGAGCGCTTCTCTCTCGTAGCTCGAAGAGCCTTCTAAACCGGAGACGGGCTAGCTTGCCTCGGAATGATGCTTGCAAGCGCGAGACCCAATAGATCGCATCATAAACATATGCCGCAGCAATGTAACCCCTGACAACTTTCTGGATTTGCGTTGCATGATAATGCTTGAATGCAATCTCGTCTTGTACCAACCAGCTACGGAATGCCGCTTGGATCTTTGTGCACGTGAACTTGTATGCTCTGAGAAATGCCTCGCATTGCCATCTGCGGAAGTATGATTGAAGAATGATAATTGCTTCCATTCGTTGCAACGCCTCTTGACGCGCAAGGTACATTCTCGCAGATGACTGAATTGGGACCGCAGCTTTGGTCAACAGGCGACGTCCTGCACGCTGAATGGGGTCTTTGATATCTTCCTCCACCATTGGTCGGAAAGCTGGTGCTGGTTTCTTCTTCTTAACTAGTTTTGGCTTTCGCGATGGAATGACGAACCCGTTCAAGATGTCTTCTTCTCGTTTTCGCCTTTGGAGATCCAACCCGAATGTTAGTGCCGCCCCTGTAACGCGCACATCTCTGTTGAATCTATAATAGTAAAGAGGCCGCCGAAAGTTCTCACGAGCCTGTTTTCGACTTCTCGGACTCAGAGCGCCATATTTGCTTTGAGTATGGAGCTTCACGGCGTTTTTGGGCTTGTTGCTTTGCGGCTTGCCTCTAACGACAGGGATGCTTTTGATGACAGGGATGCTCCTTAGAGGCTTGGGCTTGGAAGCAGGTGCTGGAACGGGTTGTTTATTCCGAATTTTCGCGACAAGAGACGATGCCTTAGGCGGAGGCTCAGGGGCGGAAGCTGCAATAAAATTGACGCGTCCGTGACGCCAACTCTTTGTGCTCATGGGAGGAGAGATTGGTCCAGAGGAAATAAAGCTATCAAAAGCTGCTTCATCGGTGTTGCATTCCGGCGCCTGCAATGCTCGCTTCTTCGAAATCGAGACCTTTACAGCCGACACTTCCTTTCGTTGAATTTCCGGCTTGACTGGTGGAGAATACTCGTCATCACTAAAATCAGGCCGACGCCACGAATGCCGGGGCGAAGGCTGGCCGTTCAAGGTGTGAAGGTATGCAACAGTCTTGGCATTCATACAAGCAGCAGTACTAAGGGCAGCTGTACCTGTTGCGAGCATAGCTTTGGAGGGAGACGCGTCAAGGGAGGTGTATACGTGGCCATGCTCCTGTTCCTTTTTCTCTTCCTCGTCACCGTCTCGCTGTTTGTATACCACTGTCGACCCATTGTAAAGTCTCTGTTCCGTCCATGGCGATACGGGAGGCCTGCTTGGCGGAGACGGTTGCGCTTCAGGGGTCGTCGAATTGGCTTCCGTCACAAAAGGCCCTCCCATAAGCTTGTTAGAGCGTGGTGACGCGATCCTTTGTGTACGATGAATCTCGATAATCTGAGTCTGAGCGTTCGTTTTGGAAGGGCCGGTGTCCTTCACATTGGAAGACTGGTCGGACGACGGGTTCGACGACTCTGTAATGTTGATGGATATAGGCCGAACAATGGAAGGTCGCTTGTGGCTACTTGCGGGTTTCTCTTGGAACAGGTCATCTAAGAATCCAGTCGTATCCGGGCTCTCAGGCAGTAGGATATCGCTGGATTTCTTTTTAATGTCTGGACTTGGGTCGATCTGAGAATGGCTTGCCTTTTTCAGTGCGACCTGAGGGGAGCTTATCAATGCAATACGCGGAGAGTTCGCCTTGTTCAACGCGGCTTGAGGAGGGCTTTCTGTCTTCGATGCGGCTTGGGGTGGTCCCCATTTTTTCAACACAGCGTGAGGAGGACTTTCTTTCTTCAGTGTCGCCAATGGGGGGTTCTCTTTCTCCAATACTGCTTGAGGTGGGCTTCCTTTATTCGTCGAAGGAAGACTTCGTTTGCTCAGCGTACCTCCACTAGATGTTGTTGCGGGAGGCGGCTGATTTCCGAGAATCTTCCGGGTGAACTCATCAGCGCTTTGTGACTGTGTCGAGAACAAGGAGTCCAACTTATCCCGGGTGCTGGGTGGTTCAGTTTCAGGATCAGCCGCAACCTTTGACTTATTCTCTTGTGCGTGACGTGCTTTGGAGTGCAACCGAGATATTATCCCAGCCACATTCTTTGGCAACTTATCGTCGCTATCATCGTCAGGGAAACGAAGTGGGGGATCCAACGCGTATGGAGAACCGTCCCGAAAGGCAGATGGTTCCCTTCGAAGTTCATGGGGAAGGCTCCTTTGACTAGGAGGAATCTTGGGCTGTTGCGTCGACTCTGAGCGACCAAAACCTGGAATGGAACGTCGCGAGTTGGTCTCCGAGATTGTGCTCCCTAATGGATCCTTCAGTTCAGTGATGGGGCTTTCCCATCCTCGTGGAGAAGGCTCGTTCAAGTGAGTTGCGCTAGCTTTTTCTCGGGGAGTTTCACCGGAGGGATCCAGGGTCGGAGGAACGTCTACTTGTAGGCTTGCTTTCGCCTTCTTCGAAGTGATTGGTGATTCTCCATCTGGTTCCTGGAAGAAGGGAGCCGTAAAAGGATCAATAGTTGGGGATGAAGCCGACGCCTTTGGCGTAGCATCTGAATGTACAGTACCGGCTCCATTCCAGTAATGGCCCATTGGTTCTGAAGACTGTCCACTAGATACGGTGGCACTGGCTTCAATCGGGTCCACATTTCGTCGCCCATGGTCATGTGCCGATGGGGCTGTCAAGGTACTGACCTCATCATGCGCGAAAAAGATATCCCTGCGTTCAGGCTCCACGTCGTTTGTCAATCCCGATGTCACGGTGTCCAAACCCAAACCAAAACCAAGATGCAGCTCTTCGGAAGTGGCTTTGGCTTCCCGGACTGTTTCGTGACCCGTATCAACTTCGAGCGACGAGACCTTTTGGTTTTGGTGGCTGGCACTAAAGGAAGGATCATCTCGGAATGCAACTCTGGGCAGAGCCACGTTGCTAGCGTCTGTTGAAGACTTTAAGATACCAGGACTCGGCGACATCGATGAAATCTGGGAGACTTGATTGTTTGTTGGTTTCTTTTTGGGGGTTGGCTTGGCCTTTTGGATGAGCTCCTCCCCATCATCATCATTCCCGTAGTTTCCTTCGCTCGACTTGGAAGTCTTCTTGCCCCCACGGAATATATTTCGAAAGAAACCTCGTTTCTGCCTTTCCGGGGTTTCTGCCCGCTTGTTTCGTTCTGAGCTCTTGCCGCGGCCACGTCTCTCTGGTGTCTTTGGTCTCGTGGCGTTAGTAGTGTTACTAATAGTGCCCGTAGACGCTCTTCCTCGTCGCTTCTTGGTTCCCCCAGTGCCAGCTTCTGTCTTGACCCTCTTTGCCACATTTGACGGCTTAACGCTGCTGCTACTACTACTTGAAGTGGGAGGGACCTCGTTTAACTGATACTCACTCGATTCTTGGTGGTTTGTGCGCTTGGGAGGAAGGTTTCTCTTCATGGCGGTGCGTTGGTTGCTATGGGGTTCTGTGGCGGCGCTTCTAGGCGACGCCATGGATATGACAGAATCAAATCTGCTGCTGCTGCTATCTTCCATCGTTTGATTCTGGTCCATTTTGGTTTGGTCCTTTGGAGCTTCAGGAGCCGTTGACCTGGCAGGGACAAATCCCGGTTCATCGTGTACCATGTACAAGTTGGGAGATTCGTAGATTGCCAAAGCTTCTCGACGCCTTTGATCCACAAAGTTTGGATTGACGCTCTCTGTTAGTTCTCGAGGCTCCCGTGACGGCGGTCTTCGAGGAGGGGATGATAGTGATGAGAATCCAGTAGTAGCACTGGCGTCTCCCGCTGGCGACAGTGGCAAATGACGACGTCTCGCGTGAGAAGGCGGTGCTACTGCAGGGGCTCGTTGTTTTTGTGGAGGTGGGGTTGGCGGTGGCGGCGGTGGCGAACCAACTAAGAACGCCATGACAGGGGAAGGTGCTCGAATCCCATTCTGGGTAACAGGATGATGCGTTCGGCGTGGAGTGGGTGGGGGTGGACCAGCCATTGAATGAGGTGGGAGAATCGGAGGATCGGCCTCAAAACTCTCTCGATTCTCGTCAGGAGGCGGATCGGTGCCAGCCACAATGTCTACTCCTGACGGATCGATCCCAGCAGGGTCTCTTGAACTCTGGAATGATTGCACGGACATCATCTTGGACCGCTTTTTTCAATCTACTCACTCTATTGTCAACTACGTCAACAACTGGGTCGTTTTCCCCTCCAAATACCGTAAAAAACGACCCAGACCAGCCTATTGTTGGTCAATCAGTCGGTTCCTATTGTCAACTCTCTAAAGCAATCGTCTTGTGGTGTTTATTGTCCGATTCTTGCAGCGTTGCAAGACTCTATCGTCTCTTGTCTACCTTTCTTTGTCGACGACTGAGCGTCGAAGGCAGTTTTCGCTTTGAATATGTGAGAAGGAAATGAAGGGATCTTGTTAAGTATCATTTTAGTATCGCCAATCGAAGCAAACGGTCATTTCTGCAATCGTCGTCCGTAACAGATGGTTAATAAAATTATGGCTTAAAGCAGAAGGATAAAAAGCTACATACGTTCAAGGCAATCTCTGATCTCTGCAGGACACATTATTTTTAAGATGGGTCAGTTGGATTTTTTAGGAGCTGGTAAGGTTAATTAGGAGTCCAGTAGAAACGGCCGAGTGAGACGAGCCAACTACGGGATGCCAACCAAAACTCTACCTTTACTTTTTCGGGGATGTCCATACGCTAGATTTACCTAGGTACGTGCTTGTACCGGTAGGTTGTATTTGGGGTATCGGTACTGGTACCCGTAGCGGTATTGCTTCCAATAGCTACTGGTATCTGGCGCTCTTCACAGCCCGATCTATTAATTAATACCGGTATCTATCGAAACAAAGGAATACTCGCCTTGCATTTGCCGACAATTGCACTGCGTACGCCTTATAAAAGTGGAATCTTTGGTATTTGTATGGTATTCTATCTGACAACCTCGCTAGCTAGACCAATTCATACTTGAAGCTCGAGAACGCCATCTACTTGAAGTAACGTGATAAAAAAATGAACAGCAAAGAGCGAAGCAGGGAGACAAATAATGTAAGGAAGAAGAAGAAATTGAACTACTATACCATGCACTACTACACAGTGTAGTACATGCTGGCCAACATATTTATTTTTAAACTAGCTACCACGTACGTATAGGTAGCCGAAGAGAGTACCAGTACATGTATAACGGTACTGGTACCTACGAGACGATCTTTTTATAGCCGCTTTCTCAATTCTTTTTCATTTTTTCTGCCACCAGTGAAAAGCATTTACCAATAATTCAAGCAATGGTGGCAGCAGGAAGCAGAAGGATGTTGTTTGTTGTGTTCGCCTTAGCCTTGATATTGACGCAGGCTCACGCCAAGGACTTGCCACCCAATGTCATAATTATGCTGGCAGACAACCTTGGATATGCCGACGTGTCCTTTCTGGGGGCTCCAGCTGGACGCACTCCCAACATTGACCGTCTGGCAAAGGAAGGAATGCAATTCCAACACTGGAATTCGGCAGCTCATTTGTGCTCGGCAAGTCGAGCAACCTTGTTGACGGGAAAATATGCAGCTCGAACCGGTGTTTACCCTTCGGTATTCGCCAATGATGCTGTGTATGGGTTAATGCCGTTCGAAGTATCAATTGCAAACTACCTGAAAGAAGAAGGATACGCAACGTCATTGGTCGGAAAATGGCACCTTGGCCACCGCCCGCCTTATCTTCCAACCAAGCAGGGATTTGATGAATGGCTTGGAATACCCTTCCACATGAGTGGGGGCTCATTAGATAACCATGTTTGCTCCTACGATGAGGACCAAAGTTGGTGGCTACCATTGTACGACGGTGATTCCATTGTTGAACAACCTGTGAAGCTAAATGAACTGAGTAAACGATATGCCTCCAGAGCAACCGGTTTCATTAAAGAGCAAGTTGGAAAGAACACACCATTTTTTCTGTACCTAGCTTTCTCACATGTCCACCAGCTGTGTGCGCCCAAGGACGGGAAGGAACAAGAGACATGTCAATGGACGGGAAGCCCCACGGCAGATGATACAGTGCAAGGTCTAAACAAGACGTTTGGAGATGCAGTTGCCGAAATGGATTGGATAGTAGGCGAAGTTACAAAAATGCTGGATTCTTTAGATGTGGCGAACAAAACCTTTGTGCTCTTTACCAGCGACAATGGCCCATGGTTGGCCGAGCAGTCGTGTTCCGGTGCCAAAGGACCTTTCCATGGGCGGTGGCTGGCGGACAACGTTGACCAAAACTGCATTGCATGTCCTCATGATTTCGAACCCTGCCCAACAAATGACAGGCCCAGACGGTGCCGTCTTAGAGGTGTGAATCCCGAATCCGAGGATGCTGCCTTTTATTTGGATGGTGTGCACTGTGGCGAGGACGTTGGTCTTGGTTCTCTGTGGGAGGTATGAACTGCGTCAAAAAGAGGAAGACATGACAGCTATAGCTAACACGCCGAAAATGTTCTCATGTTTGTGCAGGCTAATCTGAGAATGCCAGCCGTTGCCAGGCAACCTGGAAAGATACGAGCAGGGGCTTCTTCCAGTGCGGTGGTATCGACATTGGATGTATTTCCTACGGTCCTTTCCTTTCTCAATGCGTCCTTGCCGCCTGGGCTCGACGGCATGGACATATCCTCTGTGCTGTTTGGCCGAGAACACGAGTACGACAGTGCCAACCGAACACTCTTTTTCTGGAGAGATGGATTCTCGGAGGGCTCCCTTCCACCTCCCTACGGTCGATTGGATGTAGCAGCTGTGAAAATTGGCCACATGAAGGCCCATCTGTACACCAAGAGTGCTCATTACAATGACGACGACGCAGTGCATCACGTCCCCCCACTGCTATTCGACGTCCACGCCGATCCTGCAGAGGCATTTCCCCTCAATCCAGATGACCACAAGGAGCTGCTAGCGAGGATGGAACAACTAGTGAAGACGCACAAAGAGTCAATCGAGTGGACTACTCCATTGGCACTAGCTAAAGACCCAAAGTATCGACCCTGCGCAGACCCTCAAAATGGATGCCGAACGGGGGCAGGGCTTCCCGAAAGGGTAGTGTTGAACGGGGATTGACGCGACCAGAGGCCCGACCAAATTCTCAGCTGTCACCAACGGAATGAGGTGTTGTTGCGCTCACCAACATCTGAATTTCCAGAAGCAAATGTTCGGTGCACCATGACCTCGCAAAAGTCTGACGGGCTTACGATCAATGTTAGCCCTGTGCAACGCACGAGTTGCCTCCGAAAGTGCTTTTAAAGGCATCTATTTGACATTTAAATGCTCTTTAGCGAATTCGTACACTGGGAGATACAACACAGGAAAAGGCGATAGGTGAGCGGCATGCTGCCATCATTGTGCCCTTGTGACGGTATTGACAACCGAATTCCTGTACGCACCTGTGAACATTGTGCCAACCATCGGTATCTGGTGTTTGGTTGCAGTGAGGTACAGTTGGAGGGAGAGGTGGTTTGGTTAGTGCATACAGTGAACTTGCGAAAAAGTCTCACAAAGAATACTCACCACTTTGAGCAGCTCAGGTGTGAGACCGCGATAAATACTTCTCAGCCCCTCTTTGTGGACAAGGTGATAGAATTGTTGAAACGAATTCAACCTCAATTCAGGAGGAACGTGAAGGCTTTGGACTTGCATCCTTCGTCTTATCGTATCAAATCTGAAAGAGTCCAACCAAGACAATGAAACTGTGTGAGACGAGACAAGACAAGACCACGCCACACGAACACATGCCCAATTATCGATTGAAGAAACGTACGGAAATGTTACCAAGGTGGCCATTGTTCCACTACAGGCACCACATAAAACGGTTAGGACCAGACCAATCTTTTCTTCCCCACTATCAGCATCAATTCGTCGCAGATTATAGAACAATTCGTCATCCAACGCATACTCCTTCATTGTCCCATAGACTGCAAAGGAAATAGAGAAATTGGGGACAGCCACGGCAAGCGTTGGACCAAGCCCCGAGTAGAAACCCAAAGGTCCTTCGCTTGTGTAAATCTTGCGGACTGCATCGACTATGCCCCTGTAATGTTCTCTTCCTTCGAGCTCAGTGGTCAGCCTCGTTCTAACCAAATCCAAGGGGTAACACGCGCAACAAGCAATGGATCCTGATATAGCTCCTGCGAGAAACTTGTGGTAAGCTTGTGATGATTCTTGGCCACTATGGTCATTGCTGATTGCCGTATTCTGCTCTTCCTCCTTGCTATTCATGATTCGATGGGACATCCGCCTGGCCAGTTGCGTTGATGTCTCGATGGGGTCTTCATGATTCTCTGTTAGCATATCTAGAACGTTTTCATAGACAAAGAAGTTGATTCCAGAGTAGGGAAATCGATGAAGCACTGATGTCAGATTTCCCTTCCAAAGGCTGATAAAGCCACCCCGCTCCAATATCTTCTGAACGCCTTCTCGTAAGCTCATGGCAAAGATGGGCCTGTGCTCTTTCGTTGTCACCATGGAATGAACCTGAAATAGAATTGTAAGCCTGCTGAAGGGAGCAGTCACTGTCTTGGCCACTGAACCAGCGATGCCTCCACAAAACAAATGCTTGGCTGCTTCCACTGTTCGACTCTCCGGTAACACCGGTGTCCCTGTAGAACTTTCTTCATCCACCTTGCTTGACATAGTTTAGTAGTTCAGTGATGGTAATGCCATGAGAGGATGCTATCGTAGCATCGGCAGCATCATCTGCAGGATGTGAATAGCATACAGTACAGTAATAGCATGGTGACGATCGCAGCACTTTTGAGAGAAAAAGGGTTTCTGTCATTTCGCTGTATCTCAGCTCTGCTTGCTTGTATTTTCACATGAGTGAAAACCAAAAGACTTCTTGATGCACCATGGTATGGCATACTGAACCATACCGGTATACCGGTACCATGGTAGCTGGTACCATACACCTGTACCATCCGCTGATGCAGCAGCAACAGCGCCCGTACAACCACAACATACTCTACCGGTAGTACAAGTTAGTTGAGAGATGAGGGGGGTCTTTAAAAGTCGACGAACAGCGACGACCTGACGAGATCGGTTGACATCGTTGCCGATTGAATTAATAGAGCTTGGCGTTAAGCTTTACGGTACTGCATCATGACGACCCAGGAAAAGTTATTAGTGAGGATTACCGTAGTTCTTGCGGATGGCAAAGACAGCAAATGGAAGGTTGCAAGCGAAGAAAGTTACAAGAAGTTGGTTGCTAAAATTGGCGGTGCATTGATCGACCACGAGGGGGTCGAAGTTCGGGGATTCTCAGCGCTCGAAGATGGGGCGTACACGCTGTCTCCAGCGATGGAACCTATAGTCACCCTGGAACTGTCTCTGAAGAAGAAAACAAAGTATTGTTCGTGGAAAAAGGAGGATCTCACAATGGAAAGTTTGGAGCTTCTTGTACGGGAATAGTTTGACATTCCACTCGCACGGCTATCGTTTGCTTTACCAGCTTTCAAGGGTGCAAACAACGACGAATTACTGGACAGCGATGAAAAGTTAAATTCAATCCCAGCCAACAAGACTACGAGGGTGACGGTCATCGTCAGAGTAGAATTCTCCTCTATTTCGACTGTCAAGGGAGGAGAATAATGAAGAGCTTCTCACGCAGTATCCACACTTAAGCGACTGCACAAAGTTGCACCGCTCCCGCGTTGTGAAGCCACTCGCCGACTCTATATCGACCCAATTCTCCTGGCAGCCGCTCGAGTTGCCGGCCCCGACGTACTACTCGAGGTAGAAAAGGAGTACGAAAACCGGGATGTTTGGGGCCCCATTGATTGTGTTTTTAAGTACAACGGAGAGACTATAATATGTATAACTGAAGGCAAGAAAGATCAGCTTGACAGAGGAGTCATTCAGAACATTGCTCAGTTAGCGGCAGTCGCCGATGACCGAATACGGAAGAGGAAGATATCGGAGATATCGTCCGATCTCTCTTTCCCCACATCATCCCTGTTTGCGTCTCTTATACTAGAAATGGAACTCTGAGAAACCATGCCGTCTTTCAGCACCAGGAACTGCCAGTTTAAATACGTGGTGGCAATTCCAT